CTTCACGGCTGACTACCTGTCATACATATTGAATCGTTTCGATTATGACTATGCTTGTCGTACTGTATTTAAATAAACACCACAGATGTTGATGCTTTGAATATCTAATTGCAACTTTGCACATTTCCAGCTCAGGTCGTCGGCCTCATTGGAGCAATGTTAGGCGTCAATATTCCCACCTTGATTGTGTAATATTTACCACCAAAGATTGAATCAGGCGAGTTTTATATTGTTTCATTATATGGTTGAACCACAACTATCTATAAAATGATTATCAGGATCTTCGACTTGATTTTAAGTTCAGCAAAAACCGTTCGTACAGATTCACAGCGGCGCTGACAAAATTTAATGCTATGTCTTAAAGCATTCAAATACCGTTTTTGTACACGATGATGCTTGATCAGCCGTGGTGATCTACTAGGCCTTGACATCTTGTTTAACCGCATGGATGATTTTTTACATCTTACGCGCGTATCTAGAATGTGTTGAATAGTTAAAGGCCTCGTTGGTGTTTTGGACAATGAAAATGATGCAAGCATACAAATCGCTGTATATGGGTTCTTGAGACGCATTCTGCAAGAAGAAAGTGCAAACACTAGATTGCGCCATCTCTGTGGAGTCAAACCACTTAGCTCAACTCAATTTGATTCAAAAAGCTTACTAAAACATCACTAAAGCTGTCGTCAACAGATATGTACAAGAACTATTGTACGAACTTGGTGTTTCGGGCACAGTCACCAAAGAAGCTCAATGAGACCGGTAGACTCTTACTTTTCTCTCGTAAACAATTTTCTAGCCTTCTTGCCCCCTTGAAATACTCTCTATCTGAGAATTCATAGTAATCGATCTTACACATGGTGAAATGGCTTGATGGCAATGATACATACATCCGCCAAGTTATGAGAAGAAGTAATGGCTATCAGGATGCCAATTTCAGAATTTGCACTTTGAAAAGTCTGAACTTCCTTCGGTGAAGAAGCACACTATTTCTAGGCGATCGAAGAAGACTGTCTTGATAAAAATTAGTTGATAAGGAGCTTACTGCTTCGGTAAGGAGTGTGATGTTCAAGTGAAAACATCAACTTTGAATCGATCGAAAGGTGTGATGTGTGAACATGAGAGGGGTAATATAAGGTACATGTTTACAATGCTCATTTAATACCGATATAATATATTTGGAAATCACTAGAATTCAGATGGGCCATTCATACATGCGTTGTTGTATCACAAGCTTCATTCCTAGGATTACATACATCTATGTTCGTGACTTTTCAAAGCATTTCCACACGCAAGGCATCCCACTCAAAATATCCTATGCATTCATAATTCGCACAAGTCTTCAAACCACATATACAAGATGGGGGAAAGATCCTCTAGGTATACCTACCAAGTAAGTCTAAGAAATTCTGTCTCAACCAGTAATTTTAACAACACTTCACTTTTCCATGAATGAATTTTCCCACGAACATAGCACCATTTCAAATCAAGATAGCATTGCACCACACTACAGTTAGACCATTCTATCCATTTCTCAGTACATCATTGTTGATATCCAATCACGCAATTCCCCTCCTGCATAGCGTGATAGACGACGTGTTCAGCCCTACAGCCCTATGGTAATTATTCCAAGTATTATCCCAGTTCCTCACGTCCCTTAACTGGACGTCAATTCTTAAATCCTAGAAAGGGATATTGTATTTGAGTAAATGTTTTCCACATCTCGAAACTAAATGTCTATATATTCTACAGACCCCTACCGTGCAAACACTAGACAAGACATCAAACTGAACTCTAGCTCGTCCAACTTTGCATACTCTCAATCACTCAACCCCCGCATACTCAGCTTTTTTTCACCTCTTGATTTGACATTTCAATGGTATTCAGGATTGATGTCAGTTTCCGGAGATACTGAATCAAAAGAAACAGAGCGCAAACATCGGAAGTCCACCAGCCAAAAATTTACCCTTAGGGAACGGATCATACATAATCTTCCAATGAGATGTTAATAAACCTGCTCATGTAATTGAGGTCGATATTTCAACATATTTGAAGCAGTGAATCAATGGAGTCTACGAAATACGGTAAGCTACGTTGTGAAGGTACGGATAGTATCCCGACAGAGAGGTCTTTCGGGAAGGGAAGGATCGGTTTAATAATCAAACGCATTATCATGCCAGGGATATTAAAAACTAAGAGAGGAATTGCAGCCATTGAGCCGGCGAGTGATACGTTTGAAGGGCCCAACGAGAAGTGGTGCCTCTAGATAGAGTAAATGTATCAACACTGCAACGGGAATATCTGCTGCCGGCTTCGAAATACTTGATCATAACGTCATAACTGCATGTTATTACTCAAACATATTCCAAATTCCTCATCTCGAAATATATCGAGCTGTCCTTAATTAATTATTCCATGATTCACAAAGTACAAAATTCCCCTCTCCCCCCTCCCCCCCGCCCCCCAAAACTCAAGAGCAAGCGAGCTTCGGAATCTCCTGAATGAAACGTACCAAACACGATGATCAATTGGAAAATTAAAATTTACCTTTCTCACAATCTACGGCGATCCTAGGAATATTTTTACATCATTACCATTCCCATTCCCCGACATCGGGAGTGTACAAAAACATGCTCCATTTCCTCCAAGAATCATGCCGAGTCGGCCGAAAGTATAATGAAGCTAAGATTAGTATATTAACGATCAGCCCGAATGTCGTTATCCAAGCTTGGAAGAAGTACTTGGCTCCTTGGTTGACGGTTGTGTTTCGCTCGTACCTATACGCGGTTCATATGGCCAGAGAAAACCCATGGTCACTAATTCATCCGTTATTTCAATCTTTGATGATCGCGGGAGTTGTGAAGTCAGTGTAAATTGACAGTTCTTGGCATAACCAAGGATAGACGTCCACCAGTCGTTGCGAATCGCAATTTTCTTCTGCTGATAAGGTTGAGACAGACCTTGATGGGGTTTGATTTTCAAGGTTGGACCCCAGGTCCTAACGTTTCAGATGTGACCCTCAAATAGAATATCAGATGATGATGCTGATCGACCGTTTATATTTTGGTACCCACAAGACATTCGGAGGACTGTGAAGTGTGATTTACTCCGGATGTCTTGGAATTTATCATGCTCTCATGCCATTGAGCAGTGAGAAGTCTAGAATTGAGAGACTAGAAGAGCTAAACCGGGGAAATATACTCAGTAAACAGAACGTTGAGATCCGAAACAGAACGTCAATACATAAATAGACATTAGACTTAAAATACCTACTTGAGTATTTCGAAAGTTTACCTATCATCCCTCAAGTACATCGAGATTCGAAGAGGAAGCGAAACTCAATTACATTAAGAATCCGATCTTTACCATTTGAATCGTTGACAGATTTCGTAACGCCCCCTGAGTCGTAAGCCAAGCCGTCATTCATATTGTCTTTCCCCACTAACCTTAAATGAGGTTTAATCCCCTTTGACGAAACATAATACATCCAATGAATACAATAACAAGAATAACAATCACAAGAATAATAACTATAATATATGAATATTCAAAACCGGTAAGATTGTCTCCGTGATATTTGCATGTCCAGAGTGAGAAGTTTATTGTCTGCCGGCACCCGAATAACAATCCCAACATCCCCCATTCTACGATAACCTCGATAACGTTGTAACAGATTAATGAGCCATTCAACGATTCCTCGTCCAAATCTCTGCCTCTGAAACTTTTGAACTTTGAAACTCCAAAGCCAGCATAAGATCATCAAGAAAAGAAAGCCTCTCTGGTCCGATAAATGCTCGCTGATATTGATACAAATAAAGGCATGAAATTAGATCCTTGAATATTACCTAAGATAGAATAGTCATGATTCACGATCAAGCTTTCAAGCATCCTTTCCCGAAGCCGGGGGTGAGCCATACCAACCGGTACGTAGTCTCTTGGCGATGCGAGAGAGAGAGAGAGAGAGAAAAAAGATCGAATCCTGGATAAATTTCCCCATTATTTTCTTCTGGACGCGTACGGACTCCAGAGTCAAGAAAAAGAAGACCACATGGAATCATGGAATTCACATAGATCCACTTTTTGTTTAATGAAGAGAGACAGACCTCAATTATTCTTGAATGGGTTCTGACTTCTGAGTGCTATCACTGGATATCATGGACGATGAATTTCGTTTGGATTATCAGGAGAAAATACGCATGGTACCATATTAGCAAATCATTCATGTATTTGATACGCGCTCTCGAATATCTTTTGCTTGGATGAGTTGTACAAATAAATGACAAAGGGGGGCGAATTGTCTCTGGATGTTTTTAAGTTTTGGAGGCTCATATAATTCGTACTACGGAAAGAGGAATGTACGCACGAAGGTTACGCGCAGGTAGACGCTCCTTGTGTTAGTTTTGGAACATCCTTCTAGGCCTACCAGAATTTCCTCCATCGCACGTCACGACATCCTAGTATTTTATTTTCTCCTTTCTAGCTGGCAACTTCTGCTTTCTAGTAATTGTGGCTAGACCAAGTACCAAACAATGGTAAGGATAGATGAAATATCATTTCAAGGATATGCACGGTTGTCTACAGCTTCTAGTGAAGATAGTCTGGAATTTCCCTCCAGAACTCACAGACGAACGCGCGCTTCCCGTCAATCCAATATTCATCCCAATCTCCTGAAATATCCATCACCCCCACAATTCCTCCCTATATCTCTCCACCTATAGTCCAGACAAGATAATCAAGCCGCGAATCTCCAATGTTACATGTTGAGATGGTGGTATGGTCCAACCGGTCCATCCTGGCTAGAAGGTCTGTCTACGTAATTCTAGAGGTCCTTGTTCCTGAAAATCCACGAGAAGGGGTTGATATGCTATTATGGATCTACCCGCCAGAAAAGACCTTGGCCGTAAACTTTCTTTATCAGATAGATATAGAGGTTCGTTTGTAGGTTGATTTCTTCTAGAATTCTTTTTTATTTTATCTCTATCTGCTTTTACATCTTCTCTCACCATCTTTCTCTTGCATCTCAGTCTGCTTTTCATTTCTCAAGATACCCATCTGCTCGTTCTTTGAATAAATCAGCTATTCAACTTGCTATACCATACCTTCCGTTCACATACAAATCATATCACATCTCTTCACAATGGCGAACTCACGTCTCTACACACCAAAACCTATCACGGATATCTTCACTGCAGACACCGATATCAACCGTCGCAACTGCCGCCGTACAGTACCTATGAAAGTTCTCATTCTCGGTCTGGGTAGAACCGGAACTGCATGTTCGTATTCGCTTCTAGACTCACCCTCTTAACAAAACACTAACAAACCCCCAGCAATGAGAGCCGCAATGCGCGAATTGGGCTACGTAGACACCTACCACATGATGTCAGCCAGTATCGAGAATCCTCCCGACTGTCTCCTCTGGCGCGATGCATTCGATGCGAAATACCACAACGGCCCCGCCTTCACCCGCGCAGACTGGGATCAGCTCCTCGGCCACTGCCAAGCTGTTTGCGATTGGCCTGCCGTTGCCTTCGCTCCCGAACTCATCGCCGCGTACCCAGAAGCTAAAATCATCCTCACCAACCGCGACGTCGATTCCTGGCACGCATCTACTCTCAAGACTGTCAATTGGCGCGTCAAGGATTGGGAGCTTGAGAGGTTGAAGGGCTGGAGTTGGGCCGCCAGCATGTATAAACCTATGTTGCAGGAATTCTTCGATTGTTTCTTCAAGGGCGATTTTGAGAACCAGGGAAAACAAATCTACACCGAACATTATGAGAATGTCAGGAATATCGTCAAGGCTATGGGTCCAGCTGGCGAGGGAAGATTATTGGAATATAAGATCACCGACGGATGGGAGAATTTGTGCGAGTTCCTGGGAGAGGCAGTTCCTAAGGATCGACCATTCCCAAGGGTTAATGATAACAATGATTTCATTGATCGTTCGAGGTGGAGAAACAGGTGTCAATTGATGAACGTCTTGTTTAGATACTTCTGCATTGTGGTTGGGTGCGGAATCGCATATGTTTGTTTGATGCGGATCTGGAACATGTTGTAAAAGAAGAGGGATGATGGAGGGGTAGCGGAGAGACTTCGGAAAAGAAGATAGGAGCTACGAACGGGTGAAAAAATTGGGATTGGGAAAACGGCTTGTATATCTTCACATCAAGCATCATCATTGGGGTTTTGGGTTCTGGCTAGAACAATGTACATACAGTACAGGCTTGCATATGGTATATTCTAGCTTTCTATTTTGTTGGGTGATTTATTTGGATTCTGTATATAAGTGGTAGCATACATATATCCCACCTTTCGAGGACGTTTTGAATTTATTTCTTTAAAAAACATGGAAATTCGATTCGACGTTTAAATTATCTCATTTTAGGGAGCTTTTAGCAGGTATCATATCTTGCCGTTCAGTGTTGAATTTGTATAACACATACCTAGTAGGTACTTGTACACTAACAATTAGCACAAACATCCTCGCTTCGGAACACCCAATCCTCAGGTCCGACCAATGCCAATATTTGATACATACACTCCGTACCGTACACATCAATTATCAGCATGAGCATGAGCATCACAACAACAGATCCATGCATCCATCACTCATGCATTAGGAGAACCTCGGATCTTATAAAAAGTTATAAAGCCCGCCTCGAACTGCAAAATTCTGACAAGTGGACACTGGACACATACATAACTTAACATCCCGAGGTCACCTACGATATCCTTATTCGTATAGTAGTATGTAGGGTAGAACCTAGAAAAGGAATGGACGAGATCGATAAGATAAGATTGGATATCAATTCTCGGACCCGAGAAAATACGAGAACGCCTTGGACGTCAATCTCAATTTCAATTTCAATGTGAAATCTCAATGTGAAATTATAGGCTGTGTAAATAATTACATCTGAATGGACCATATACATACATATCTTCATACCTTCATACATATCTTCCCAATCAAATACACACATCCCCCATCTCCCATCTCTCATCTCTCATCTCCCATCCACCCTCTCCAAAACCACACTCAAACTCAAACTCAAACTCACTCACACTCATTCCATACCCATCCTCCCATCCAACAAAATCGCATACCTACCTACCTACCTACCTACCTACCTAGGTACTCCATATGCTACCGCTAAGATGACGCGGCTAGAGGACGAATAATGGAATATACTAAACCAACAAGAGCTCACGATTCGTGTTTCCTGGTGTTTCGTCTGTGCTTTGCACATGCGTGAGTCGTTCTGTTTTGGGCATGGATTTTCATTGCGTGCGCTTTCTATGTTGGGGGTCATCATAATGGAGTGTGGGTGTGGGTGTGGAATAGGATAGGATGTGCGATTGCTGTCGATGTTGGGCTGTTAATGGTAAGGAGTGCGATTTACAGTGTATCGGATGAACATCGTTGGAATAAAACGGTGCACCAAGCGCGCAGGTTTGAATTATATCATTATTTGATTTTAAATTCAAATAGGCATCTATGTAAATATTTGCAATGGTATCTCCAGCTCTCTCCCTTTGGAGAGATGACTATACAAACAAGTAAAACTTCGAAGAAAAAATATGTGTCCTATATACAGAAATAAATTCCCAGCCAAAACTCCCCCCATATGTTCCCAATGATATTCGCCCTTTCCCAGAACCCATACGCTACCCAGATAACAATGGAACCCCCAAACCCCTAGGCCTCCACCTCAATAAACTAGCTCCCCTCTTCTTTCTCCTCCAAATCACTGCTTCTCTGATTCCCACCACTAGCCCAGTCACCCCCGCAAACGCCATTAACGTGAGTAATGGCCAACTACTCGACCCCTCTAATCTCACTGGCTTCAATGACCAAATCTGCATACCGGTATTAGCATTAAAGATTCTTGAAGTCTAACAAAAGAGATGAGTCAGCCTTACCTGTTCCAAATTTACGTCCAGAGAAGAACTTACCCCCAATAACTCTTCCTCTCCCGTGACGTTATTGTAGCTTCCTATTCCCTTCACTCTCAAGTATCTCGGATACAAACGATGAATTTCGAACTCCGTCTCAAAAGTAGTTTTGTCGGCATAATCCAGAGTCTTCCACTCTTCCTCTTCTGCTTCAGACTCATCGGCTCCTTGTAATAACCATCTCGTGACTTCCGTTGCTCCATTCCAGCTCACATAAAAGCTCAACCAATCGTCTCCATTAGTCAATATTCGTACGTCAGGGTCAGTCGTGGGCCATCCATGCCAATCGAATTTAAAGGTTCGATATGATTGGACTTCTCCAGCGCCATAACGACTTTGTGGTCCGAAGTGTACATCACAGATCGCGGTTCCATTGGGGGCGTATTCAGTGAATGCGCCTGTGTTTCCATAACCCATGATTACATGCCCATCTTCGAGAATCTGTAGATTTCCTTGCGAGATAGCGTGGACACCGTTTGGATTCATGTATTCACGAATGACTTCTACCGTCATGTTGATTTCATCGAGCGAGACGAGGAGTCCGCGTGTAGCGTTTCCAGGATGAGCATCATCTCCTGCGTTATCGAACAGAGAAATGGCGGTACGATTGTGACGCCAGCGAGCATCATGTTGATATGCGAAATTGGTAGCTAGACCCCCAGAAAGATCCGTGAACATATTTTTCTTGCCTCCAAGAATCCAAATGATGTCCCCATTTGTCCCGTTTATGTAGGTGAGGGAATGGAAATATCTGCTGGAAATAAGATAATTGCCTTTAGAATCCTTGTCGATACTGTTTATGTGAAAGAAGTCGAAAGCAGAGTTTACTCCTCCATTTCCCGCTGGCATTTCTCTATATGTATCGGAGATGGGATAATGATCTGCCGCTCTCCATTGAAAAAGGAGCTCTCCGGAGGCCAAATCAATTTCCTGTATGACACAATCCCAAACATATCCTTGTGGTATTCCAACATATGATAAATCGGCTACAACAACATCGTAAATGGTGATCAAGGCTGTACCATTTTCGGTGATGGTAAAGTCGTGTAGATCGCCCGCGAGACCGTTTGCTGCAACGGCGTGGTGAACCTCCTTGTAGTTTTTATCGAGCTGCGCAAAGTTAGTGTGAGCAAAGATTTACAAATACGAGACAACCTATACTGACCATATAATAAGTTCCTGCACCATGTCCCTGCACAGCATCTGTTCCAGCCCAGAATGTCAAATACTTTTCTCCCATGTATTCCTGTACCTGAAGATTGTAGACTTGATCATAACCTCCCTTGGTCCAAATTAAATTTCCATCTGAATCCAAAATCATTGCACCCGGTTCACTGACAGAACTCCCGCGAGGGCTAAATACCCAATACAAATCATTTCGGCATAATGCGCTCGATCGCAAAATATTCAAACGCGGGGATACGACATCGGTTGACATGTAGGTACGGATTGGATAAGATCCATAGCTGCCGGCATCAAAAGCATCGTCCCCATGGAGAGCGCCCAACTCAGCAGCAGCGAAGACGGGTAAGAAAGAGGCGAGAAGAGAAAACAGCAATAATACTTTCAACCCCATGGTAACCTGATGGAAAAGAAACAAAAGAATAGAAAGAAGTGTGACATTTGCTCATGAAAGTACGAGTATGGAAAGGAACGAATAATGATACACAAGGGGAAGTGATCGGATCAAAACCTACTAGGATATAGAGGGCAACCGGCAAGCAGAAATACTTTACCCCAAAGCAGCATGAAAAGCTGGACGAGTCCTACTATGTGTATGTGGGTCCGAAGGGTGATTGGAACTTTTATTCATTGCGAAGTGGAAGTTGTACCTGAGAAATCGGGAGCCTCCAAGCTTGGATCCTGTTGTCCAAAGGAAGACAAGACACAATGATAATGCCATACGTCAGGCAGTAGTCTTGAGGATGGCGCGTATAGAATCGCGTACAAGGTCTAGGAGTTTAGTAGAAAGGAACATGATTGAGGTAGAGCGTACAGCGTACAGCGTATTCCGTAGATATACGCATGCATGATAGCAATTGGAAATTCGTAATGGGTTTCACGGAAATGTCATATTCGGAGTAGCGTTGGATGGAATATAGATGCTGATGTATGGAAATGTGGTTCTGAGATCCGAGTGTATGTGCACTGGCTCGACTGGGAAGGGAGGAAGGGAGGAAGGGAGGGATGGAGGGAGGGATGGAGGGAGGGAAGGAAATGTGAAGGAAAAACTTCTAGAAAGCCAACAGGGGGACATGAACACGGTGGAGCCAATTACGACGCGCCAAGACTTTTCGGATGGGCGCTTGTCTTTTCGCGCTTCTCATCACTGCCATCAAAGCCAGGTAGGGAGGTGCCCATACATAGTACAGCTTTGTGGAGGTACCTAGGTATATCATGGTGACGACGTATACATCAAATTCCTACTAGGTAATCAATCAACTTGATGTATTAAGCTCCTCCACACAAATTACAAATGTCTATCAATAGAAGAAACATGATTAAGCATTGAAGCGTGGTTTGATATCCTCCACACATCCTTATTTAATTCTCATACAAAGTTGCCCATCGTTTCATATAAACCCATCTTTTGGATGCAATAAATTAGTACCTATTTAAGACAAATCATCACCGATACACATCAAATGATCGTCGTGAACAACATGCCCATTGCCCAATTATTTCAATTCAAGAAGTGGAAGGCTCCTTGTTCCTCGGTCCCGGAAGCAACTACTCTCGAATTACTATCATATCATATGAATTGAGATACTACTCCGCAGGAAGGTCCCAGGTATTCAACTTCCATAAACTTCCATAAATTGCCCTTTTCCCATTAGATGTGAGAGAGGTGTGTCTTTATTATCACCCATGATTACTAAGTAGGCACCGCTATCCTCCAGCACATGGGGTTAGAGTGGGCTCAGTGGGGATTCTTTTCCAAGTGAGCCAAGTTCTAATAAAATTTTAGTGCCGCGTAAACACTGACTACTGAGGACTAATAAGCATTGAACATTCAAACACCGGCCAACCCTTGAACTTCTTCCCGATCATCTGTGACACTTTCATTACCTTGCTACTGACTTACACTAACATCTATCCTTGCTTATCTGCGAGTCCGCTTTTTCTTATGCTTATCCCTATTTGAGTCGGACGAATATCAAACAAGAACTCTTGAGTGGTGATCCAAAAAAAGAAGAAACAAGCCGAGAACCAAAGGCCTTTGCGAAAGTGCAGAACCATGGCCCATGGGAGGCTTGGAGAGTTGGTCCTTGGATGTAGGATTCGGGAACGTGGAATCTTAGGTGGATCACAAAGGCAACCAACCATTTTCCTGCTCCATGAAGCCTCACCTAAAGTGTACAAAGCTATGGGGCAAGCTTAATTTTGAAATTGACGATGATGTATATCCCATACGCACACGTTTTCACACTACTAGCAAGGATAAAGTAAGTATAGAGTAAAGGGAATTTCAGATTGTCCACGAGGAAGAAGGATAATAATAATAACCTCCGAGTAGAGGAGGACGTCGGAAATGGTTGATTGATGAAGATCGAATAATAGGATTTCTTTTCGACTACTTTTGGCCTGTACTTTCCTTCTTTGATCCATCTTTTCTTCCCGTTCTATCCTTTCTTTGCATTCATTTGATAGCTTGGCACAATTCTGGACCGAGCCGCTTCATGATTTTCCATCCAACATATTTCTCTGCTCTAGTTTAGTTATTGACTCGAATCATCCAAATTCTGGCTTGTTGATTTTTTTTCTTCTGTATTCTGGTGGTTCCGTTTCATTTTATCGTCATTTATCAATTTTTGTTTGAAAATTAATGGCTATGTCGGAGAAAACCAATATCCCAACACCTTTATGGTCACCGGCCTTGCCCGAGCATAGAGGAGGGGTAAGTGGCTTTCATCGCAGACATACCTCTCTCGTCCCTCCGTCCCCACGTGAGGTTTTCGATTCACGGCCTAGTACTGCCTCTGAGCCCGATTCAGAAGCATCTGGTCCCAAACCACAAGCAGTGACATGGATGTCACTACCTCGGAAAGATCAATTAGCCATCCTCTTCTTCTCTAGATTGGTAGATTTCTTACAAATTGCTTCATTGCAAGCTTATATGTTCTATCAGTTGAAGAGCTTCGATCCTGGCTTGTCTGATGCTGCTATTTCGTCACAGGCGGGGATCTTGCAAGGGTGTTTCACCGGAGCTCAGGTCTGTACTGCGGTGCTATGGGGCAAAGCTGCTGATACTTGGGGGAGGAAGATGGTTCTCATGATTGGGCTGATTGGAACGGCTATCTCATGTATGGGATATGGCTTCTCGACGACGTTTTGGCAAGCGGCTTTGTTTCGTGCCTTTGGTGGAGCTATCAATGGTACTGTTGGAATAATGTTAGTTCATAGATTCTTCAATTTCAAATGCACAATAGCTAAACTGTCTCAATTAGACGCACCATGGTTGCAGAGTTCACCAAAGAGAAGAAATATCAATCTCGGGCATTTTTGCTCTTGCCTATGAGTTTCAATGTGGCTGGTATATTGGGCCCAGGTATGTTTATATATATATTGCATCAATCACATCATCATGTACTAATATTGCTCATAGTTATGGGTGGATTACTTGCAGATCCAGCAATGACACTCCCTGGTCTTTTCGGTGACCAAGCTGCATTCGGATTTGAGTGGCTTAAATCATATCCCTATGCTCTTCCTGGTATTCTCAATGCCGTCTTCTTATCAACTACCGGCGCCATCGTATTCTTAGGTCTAGAAGAGGTACGTGCTCTTGACGTGGGATACATCTTCACGTCTCCACCCCCGCATATACGGATACGGATGCTAACCTGTAGCTTCATCTTAGACTCTTCCTTCGGCACGTGGCCAATTTGATTACGGAATCAATTTGATGAATCGGATTAAACAATCAATAGGGTTTGGAACTATTGTTGCCCCGATTGATTACTCTCATCTTGAGACCTCAATTGATAGCCTCGAGAACTTCGAACCTAAATCAATTACTCGTCCCACCGCAAATAAATTACCCTTTAATCGCATCTGGACCAAAAACGTAATCTTCACCTTGGTTACCGGCGCATTCTTTGATTTCCATCTTGGAGCTTTCACAAATATCTGGTCACTTTTTCTCTCTACTCCACGACCTACTTCCAAAGATTCTCGATCTCTTCCCTTTGTATTCACCGGTGGTCTCGGTATGCCTGCCGCAACAGTCGGCTTTGCAACATCTATTCTCGGCGTCCTTGGCATGGCTCTACAAGTTCTTTTTTATCCACCTGTTCACGCAAGACTTGGTACTCTCCTTTGCTTTCGATTTTTTCTAATTTTGTTCCCCATTGCTTATTTCGTTGCTCCATATTTGGCTGTATTGCCTTCCAGTACTTTGGCACCTGCGCCTGCTGCCGGACCTGCGATCTGGATTGGAATTTTCTTTGTACTTTTACTTGCTGTTTCAGCGAGAACTTTTACGCTTCCTGCTACGATTATCTTATTGAACAATTGTTCGCCTCATCCTTCTGTTCTGGGTACGATACACGGAATTGGACAATCTGTCTCAGCGGGCTTCCGCACAGTGGGACCGGTGGTAGGTGGAATATGGTATGGACGGGGGTTGGAAAAGGGAGTAGTGGGATGGGCATGGTGGGAAACGGCAGTGGTCGCTGCGGCGGGATGTGTAACAGCTATGTGGGTTTATGAGGGAAGTGGACATGAAATTTTCTTGGAAGGGGAGGAAGATGACATGGAAGAGGTGGAAATGCAAGGGTTTATGAGGGATAATCAGATAGAAAGAGAAGAGGGAGCTTTTGCTGAGAGACAGGGGCTGATGGGACAGATGGGTGGAAGTACTAGCTTGGATTTGAGAGATTTGGTAGACGATGAGGTGGAACGGGGAGCGATGGCTGGAGGTGGTAAAGGAGTTAGTTTGGAGGTTAGAAGAAGCTTGGCTTTAAAGTAGGGTTGTGATTCCCAATGGCTAGAATAGGGCTGGCGTACAGGCGTTTGTGTTCGGGTATCATGGGAATAAATACCACATATTTGTGCTGGGCATAAAAATGTCGGATAGGCGGATGGTGGACCAATTACTTATGAAGTTATCTATGAAAAGTTCTTCGGCGAAAATATATTATTAAATTCCCATTCTATGTATCTTCTGTGAGCAATGTGACTGACTGAATCAAAATATTGCACATGCTCACCCTACAGACAACTATCAAGATTGACGAGATTTCGGTAAGCATTAATGATTCCAAAGCAACTGATTCAACACCATTATACTCCTGACTAGACAGCTGCTAAACAAAGACTGTAGTACTGAACAAAATGCTTTGATTGAAGTTGTGTGTTGAAGTGATATAGTGATATACACATACAACATGGAGATCAAGAGGTTTGAAAGACATTCGAAAGGGTAATCATCGGGAATGTCGGAAAGTACTAAAATTTGTTCCGACCTCATCTCTCAATCCTTACTTTTTCACCAAATTCAACTAAATTCGTATTGTAATACTTTTTATTCTGATGTCTATCAATTGTGTATCTACACTAAGGAAATCTCATTTCGATTCATGATGATTCATGCTTCTGAAGATTCTCAAGAAGAAAGAGAGAGAAGGTTTGCTTCTTGGATTTGCTTTCTCTCCCTCATCGGCAAGAGCTTTCTCAGTCAATCATCCCATATTATTCCTCAAGTCCATCAATCCATCAATCCATTCATTTACCAAAGCCACCATCCTTCAATTTTTAATCAACCTTCAAGTGATCCAGGAACAAAGAAAGTAAATACAAAAGAAAGGAAAAAGGAGATTCAGTGAAAGCTCCATGAGAAGTGTTTCTGTTTGAATCTACCAACGCCTTTGATACTTCACCGCAGTAATCATGTAGTCATGACTTCGTTATCATTACGACAGCGAAAACTTTACATCCATCCCCCAAAACCATTGTCTTTGTCAACACGTTGGATTGAAGTTCCGGCATCTGTTGGAGTGTACGACACGTCATGGGTAGTATCTGTAACCGTGCCTGGTACGGGTGCTCTGGTAAACGGAAATCTCGCTTGGAGCTCTGCCCTTCTTTCCAAGCTTCTTCTTCTAGCTCTCTTCACGGATTCGTTATAGAGTCTCAACTGTTCGTTTCCATCAAAGATACCGGAGATGCTTGCAGTTACGTGAGCCTTTTGACGACCCTCGAGCATTGCCAAGGTGTTGTCGCGTTCTGCGACAGTACGCAGAGTATCTGCTTCTGTCGGGGAAGGTGGGATGGCATTATACGCACGATTTCTAGTTCCAGTGGCGGGATTTGAAATTGGCTCAACCCACTGCTTTGGACTGGTGTCGGCGCTGCCACTTGAAGTTGCATTGGGCGAAGTAGAGTTATTCGAGGGAGTAGAGAATCGCGATGGTGGTTCGACCCATGCCTTTGCTGGTGTTGTAACCGAGTTGTTCTGAATCTGGGGGAGTGCGGGTGCGGTAACTGGTGGATTGCTGCCATGTGGCCATGCTGTAGTTGGCGTAGAAGGGGATGCGACTGCTCCGTGAAGTTCAGCACTTTGGTTTGACAGATGACCGTCAAAATTTGACCATCGTGGCAATGATGAATTATCGATGCTCTTCTTAACATTTTCAGGTTCCGACCCAGGTGAAGCATGTCCAGTGGCATTTCTTCCATACAGCTTGAGGTCCCTATCTGGAGACTTCGGTGGGATTGGCGGAGCCATGGATGTACCATCCTCAGTTTGTGGTTGGTGTTCCGTCGAAATTTTATTTTCGGATAATGTAGGATCGCCTGGAAGTTCGGCTGGCCGAGGACTGGTGACAAACTGCAACTCATGCTCATAAGATCTTACCGGTCGTGGAGGTCTTGAAGAAACTGGTACTGCAGCTCCCATCATTGCTTGTTTGATAGCACCAGTTCCCAAGGTCATCTTGTCACCGAAAGGCCAAGATGGCCACAACTTTTTATCAGTCAATCCAAGGGTATCTAAGACACTTAAACGATCCTCTCGTGATTTTCCTGCTTGGCGTGAAACTCTATTTCCTGTGTTTAAGCAATGGTTATATCCATCATAAACGCTTCTATGTCTCAATATCGTGGAGCTCGACGCGTTATTGCCTCTCTTCTTCAAATTCCTTCGGTGTAAGCACCATAGAAGTAAACCGAGCGCAGCCATAGCGAGGATGGCGCCGACGATGGCAGGCACTAAAATCGCCACATTTGGAATCGACTTACGGGCATTATCGTTTGGCGGAGTTGATACCAATGTGCCAGTTGCTATTGACGACGATGATGTTTTAGAAGAGGTCGGTGTAGTAATTGGCTTACTTGTCGAAGTCGCCGACCGAGTGAAAGATTTTGTTGGCCCAGTACTTTTGTCAACATCGCTCGAGCTACTAGTTTCGACAGTGCTTGAGCTACCAGTCTTAACGGTGTTCGAGTCATCAGTTGTCTGTGGGATAGGAAGACTTGTAGTGCTGGTTGATAATGTTACAAGAGTTGCAGCAACCGCTGGAAGGTATGTAGGGTATTCAAATTGAGTCGCACTTTCTCTCACTGGAGACTCATTTTCTGGATAGACTGTATAAACAACGATCAGTGCAGAAGTCAAGGTGACAGGAATCTGGTCAGCTGGCGTCACAAACTAAAACATTTGTTAGCATCGACCGCATTGGTTTGGCATCCCGGAAAACATACTTCTGAGGATGTTACGACAATAGGAGCGGGTGAGACGGTCGTATACGATGTAAGAGTGAGAACGTTCACGCTTATACTCGAACTTGAGCCATCTGCCATGCTCAAAAAAGAACATAGGCAGACGACCAAAATTGTCAACATAATGTTCAAGTGTCGCATCTTGATACTGAATAGCAGATGAAACCGAGTTTAATTGAGATTCCAAGAAGTGCGAGGTGTCGTTGGCGTGTGGTGGAGGACAGAAAAAATCAACCGGCAGAATGCGACCGCTTGAAAGTGATGACCTTTGGCAAGGTGAATAAAGTGATTTAAGAACACGGCCAAAATCGATTATATTCGAGAAAAGAAGTGTGATGATTTCAAGAGTATAGAAAATAATAAAGCTATGGTTCTGAACCGCAGCCTTATAGAATTGATGAAAGTCCAGGTTCCTGATCAAGGTCAATAAAGAGGTGGTGTGTGTGTAAATTCCAAATTGTAAAGCAGTATTATTTTGAGATTGTGGGAAATTTCAAAATCAAAATTGAGCTAACTCTTTTGAACAGGCTAGAGTCTCGGCGTTGAGAAAAAGGTAAGTTGTTCAAGAGTTTGAGTGATGCTACTCGAAGTTTGAAGTTGTTGTTAGCAAAAGTTCATTCAAACCCACATATGTTGCTTGAGAACTTTAGTTCAAAGAGATGTTGATGGATGTATGCATGTATACTCCTGTTGGTGTCCAGATATCTTCAAAACCCAATTGTATATATGAGACCAGCTGTGAATGATCTCTAAGAATGCAATTGTCCCCTTAGCCTTGAGTTGTGTTGTGTGTGGTAGTGCAAAGATTGCTGAGATTAAAAACAACTTGGAACAGAAGATATGCTCAGAATATGGATTCACTTCCCTTGTCATACATATGATAAGATGGAACCTGATCTGTGAATCAGCGACTCACCATTGCCATGAAGGGATATGAGCAGATGATAGATGGACTCCTCAATGATCTTGGGAATTCTGTGCTTTGGACTTTGTCAAAGTGCGCAAGTCATCTGCTTGCTTGTTGGAGATCACACACTTCTGATCTCCTGGTGTCCTGGTTTCCTGGTATCGGAAAGTCTTGTTTCTCGTTGAGTTGAGCAGTTAATTTGATGAGGAGATGGTGCATAAAGCTTGCATCAGTATATTCTTGAACTTCCTATAACCTTAATCCATCTGGTGAAGTATGAATTCTACGAGCTAGTTGACTGAGTATCGAGGTTCCCAAATTCCAGCTCTCCACAGAGTGAAATTCACTGTGCTGCACAAACTTCTCAGGAGGCTGGGCACACTTGTCAAGTTTCATGAGTGTGAATGTTTGAGGTTTCCCAGATTCTTTATCGGCTTTGAAAAGAAGATGAATGATCTTTGGTCTTGGGTCCCCCTACCTTGAGTGCAAGTCCAGATATGGTGAAGTGGTTGGAATATGATTCACACAGGTAGGGAGGTCATTCGGAACTGCGAGATTTTGTTTCGGTGGAGCGAAAGTTTGAAGATGATAAGAGGGGAATGCGCTCCGAGAAGCTGCTTTGGGTCATTCGAAGATGGTATACCAAAGAGATATCCGGGGTCTGTAATCTTTGGAGCACTTTTCGTCCACGTCAAGTACTCGATGGCGTTGGAACAGATTAGAAAGGGTTGGCGATCGGTGAGTATATGTATTGCGATGGAAGAGGTACAGTTAATTCTGGAAATAGCGGTCCTTGTAAACGAATACCTGGAGTGGGATCATTAGAGTGAATCTCATTGCAGTAGTGGAGCGCTCTCCTCCTTCTGTTGCACATCTCATTTTGTCTTCTCCGGCGAGTGAAGCGGGAGAATGGCGAGATACGTGGTAGAGTCAGGAAGGCTATCCGGATACTCCCTATTCATTTACGTCAATTTGAATATCAAAAAAAGCATGAATGATCATATCCTCCGTGATTTCTTATATTCATTGATTAGCTAATGTATTATTACCCTCGTCTTTGCACTTGTCGCATAATCAACATATCATGTAAGTATGATCCACCAGGGTGGAACTTCGACTCGGTTACTAAGTGAGATCCCCCTGTTTTGCGATGATGGGAGCAAAGTCTACAGCGGCGTTCATTGGTGACTATAGATGAATCGGATGAGTGAAGCATTTACGCTTCATTAGAGTTCTCTGCTCTACCTGCCAAAAGATCTCTCGAGACGTATTTCATGTATTTTACACGTTCTCTGACGAAGAAAATTAAATTTTAATGCTACGTATCATGTGTAAATAAAAAACTTCAATTTTTATTCTCAAGCTGCTCCAAGATCTGGAAAGCGATATCAAAATGCAAGGCAACATGCTTAAAGAGCCTGTTCCAAAAAAGAAAGAGTAGCGCATCTTGTTACATACAAACACCAGACCCAAATCCCCTCTACTCACTCTTAGCTTTCCCCTCCTCCCTTTTCCTCACCACCTCTAAAAATTCCCCCACAACCCCCTTATAATCCATACTTCGATACGGCTCAAACCACTCATTCCACGAACCTTTCCATCCCCCCACCCTCGCTTTCCTCCTCGCTTCCACCCCCAACTCCTCACAGAGCAAATCACAAAGATCCTGTACCTCCGCTCCCACATTCGGTTCGATAATCCCCGCTCGTCTATATCTCCACTTCATAAATGCATTTGCCCGCGCGGTATCGAGATCCATGGTCAATTTGTCACGGAATATTTTATCGATCTCGGGAGCGTGCATGTTCTCGAGATAGGCGATACTCCACAGCGAAGAAAGTTCAGCATAGGTTGGGATTTGAGGAGATGCTAGGACGCCGAGGAAAATGAGAGATCGATCGTTGCGGGTAGCTAGGCTGGTGGGGATTGATTGGCGATAGAGATGATATGGTGTATGGTCCGGCGGAGTTTCATAAGTTTTAGGCGGGTTGGATAAGAAGGGAAAGGTTTTATGAACCCATTGATCAGCTTCGAGATCGAGTTCTTTCCAATATTCCTTCAAAGCGGGAGGTTCCGAGCCAAATGGAATTGGAAGGCCCAGCTCAAGACGCGTTTCGGGTGTGAAGAATTTGGAAAAGGTTAAATTCCATCCAGTGGCAAATATTATTGCGTCAGTAGCAAGGTGAGTACCATTATCGAGAGTGACACTTTTGGGATTAACGTTGGATATATGCGTGCGCTGGACATCTATAAGTATTCCTTCATTCAGCTTTTCGAACAAGGTACTGCCTTCTTGAAGGAAGGAAGGTGCAGATGTCGACCAAAAGAGACTGTGTTTCATTAGTAAAGTAAAGTTCACCGCAGCAAACATATCTTACTGTTGTAAATCAGGTGCGATTTTCTTAGCATTCTCGCTCTGTTCATAGAGACCTTTTAACATATAGTGAGAAGCCCACTCCCAATATTTTCCAATCAACCAGATACCGGGCCAAAAGAGACCACTATGTAAAAGCCAATACCAAAATCCATGAGTTCTCAACAAGCATGGAACCGTTAGCCCTGCCCATCTGGAGAATGCAATGGCGGCGGTATGTACCCCTCCCGATCTCGCTTGTATAAGCATTCCTGGACCAGCACCACCTTCTCGTATCAACCAAGTAACTTTCTTTCCTGCGGTTGCACATAGATTGACGACTTCCGCAGCCGATTTGTTGCCTCCGACTACAGTAACATGTTTGATTTTGTCGTCAGTAAGCTCGGCATGTCGTGCACCAAGATAAAGAGAGTGAAAAACAGGTCCATTGAATTGACTCGTGTCGAGATCCGGCATTCTTGGATCCGAAGAAGGTCCACTTGCTACAATCAACTTATCACACTTGAGAAATTCCTTTTCTTTTCCTTTTGTTTGCACTTCTAGACTCCACCTCTTGACGCCATCAGTTCCATTTTCAGGGACCGCCGAGAAGACCTTCGTATTAAGGCGGAGGTGTTCATCGATACCAAATCTCTTGGAAAACTTGCGAAGATATTCACCCACTTTATGACCGGGAATTATCTTCCACATTTCCAACTCCGGATCTTCATCCATGCACATGTCGGAAAATTCATAGCACCCAACAGGACTATCGGCAATGAGTCCAGGATAGCTTCGCTCAATACTCCAGACTCCGCCGATGCTACTGTCAGAGTCAATTACAGTCAGTTTGATGTTAGGTTTGAGCTGGAGGTATGTCCTAGCGGCTGCAATACCCTGCCATCCTGCACCAATGATAATGACATTATGGTCATCTGCGGTACGTTTTTCTGGAGCCATGATTCCGTGGCCAAATCAATTGCAGTAAATGAGATGGGATTGCGTGATTTTCATATATGCCTGACAAACCAAACATATTCGAGCATAATTAGTATCTTTTCATGGCAGTTATACGATGCGATTTCTTTCGAAAAAAATCTCGGTAATTGGGAGTGATAGAACAATGGTAAGGAACAATAGGAGGTAAATGCCACGAGGTACGAGTACGAGACTATTCGTTTTGTTGTTAGAAAACAAAGAAACAAAATTATTGATGCCTCTGTCCATGATATTCCGTATGTTCCTTTGTTCTTCGGAATTTGTTCTTGATAAGCTTGTTAATTTTTGTTTTTGTTGAAGCTATTCGGCCTGAAGACTATTCAATTTATAAAGGTCCCGAAATCCATAACCAGCATTAGTATCTATTCAAGCCAATCCTATTTTCTGTGTGACATATGTAGCCATAATAACCCCTATAATACCCTTATTCGACTTGATTTATATCCGTCTCAGCAAAATGAAAGGGGACTCAATGGACAATCGCAGTACTGAACAAACCATACATCTTCTCAATAAGGCGAGTCTAGAATTGGATGAGGCAGTGTGGAATTGTCCATCGACCCATTTCAGTCCAATCTTAAACAACTCTTCTTCGACGCATCTGGCTTCTTTGAACAAGGACCAAGCACTAACAGACTCAACTCCTTCATCAAGATCCAAGTCCGTACCCACATACGCACCCGCTATCGACACAGGGCTACAGTAACGCATGGATCTCGCACTTGCGAATTGAATATCTCGTAATATCGCGGCATAAACACACAGTACCAACCTTCAATGCCGTGGTAGATTTAGCAGATAGCAGCACCATCGCAGACTCCTGAGATTTTGGTATTAATGTAGCTAGTGTTATATACGTCGGTAAACTACGGCGAAGTAAACTTTTGTGCGTCTACTATGCTCCGCAGATACGATTGAGCACTTTCAAGAATAGATGCGCTATATACAGCAGCTCCTCTATTGAAAGTTGTACTTTCTTCCGGGATATTGGCATGACCTATCGAATGGCCGGTTCTTGCGCAACCCCGCCTCGACATAACATTTCAGTTTCTTTTAAACCCTTGTGCCTCCCCCCACCTCCTAACTTTTCCATCCAAGTCCCTCCCGACAAACCCCCAAACCAAACTCGTCACCCATGTAACCAACGTATCCGACACCCAATTTCCTCTCCTACTACCCCCCCATGCGCAAGCTCTCATCATACTTCCTAGCCAACCCACCGTAATCAGATATTCACCTCTTTCCAAGCCCCGAATCGAATTTTTTGCGACTTCATCTGGTGTTTGTATCGGATCCGTTTCCTCCAATAAATGTGTGATTTCCGGTTTGCCTTGATTCTCGATCTCCAATCCTGGGCTAGCTATTGTACCTGGAAAAATTGTGTGAATTTGTGGAGGATTGGGATATAGTAGGACTTCTTGATATAAAGTATCGCTCAAACTTTTGATCGCAGCTTTGGTCGGTGAATATGGTGTATAACCCACGACGGAATAGAAAGCTAAAACGCTACTGGTGAAGATTAAATGTCGGTCTTTCTTTTCGGCATTGGAGGTGGAGAGCCAGGATTTCAAAACGCAATGAGCCATATCTGCACAAGACCAATAGTTTATGTCCATTTGTGTGCGAAGTTTCTGGGGAGTCGTTTCGAGGAAGAAGCCGGGGGTAGAAGTGCCAGCGATACACCAGACAATGTCTGGAGGGTTAGAGGAATTGAATTTAGTGGCTTCTTCGAGTATGCGTGCGGCTTCGGTGGGAATAGAGACGTCTGCGGAAATATAGTGGAAAGATTGCGTTGATGGGGAGAGAGCTGCGGCCTGTGAAGAGTTAGTTGAACTCATCTATAAGCCCTTGCTCTTGTATTTCTTCCTCCTGCCAGTGCCCCCTTGAACCTTTAATGGTATACAAGTATCTCTTCTCCTCGACCTTCTCCTCAATCCCAAATACCACCCCAATCTTCACTATGCCTCTTTGAAGAGACGAAAAACACTAAAAAAAATACCTTGATTTCCACCATAGCTTTCTCCAATTTTCCGACGTTTCTCGCAACAATTATCACATTTGCGCCCTTTTTTGCCAATTGAATTGCAACGCTCTTTCCCATTCCTTCCGAGGCGCCGGTCAAGAGAACTGTCTATCGAGACGAGGTGTTAGCACATCTATACAAACATGAAGCACCCGGCCAGCGAAGATAAAACAATTGATCATACCTTCCCTTTCACCAAGAACTTATTTCCTCCCAGCCCAAGCATACCCATAATGCCCGGTGCAAAGGCCGCGAGGCCCAGTACCAATGCTGCAACGGTCCAGTAATTAAGTATCGACATAACTGATTGCTCAAATTAGTATTGAAGTCGGAAAGGAAGCCGTTGAACGGGGTCGTGTCGTCGCGTGCGAATTTTGGCGTTTACGATAAGCTAACGATAAGAGACAGGGGTATACGATACACGTGGTATTATTAGTGGGAGGGAGCTCCCGAAGATCATCATTGATTAGTGCAGGAACGTGGATTTCTGTAAGACCTAATCATTATGGGCCATAAGGCTGTGATGTGCAGACGATCTTCGTCATGACAGGATTCATTGTGTGTATATATGTTGATATTTGTATATCCGGTGCAACTGTATACGTCGGGAGTTATAGATTTTGAAGAACTTTACAATTACTGTCACTTTTGTATTGGCAAGTCGGATCAAAATTTTGTGATAATGTTACTTTACGGCAGATGGCAGTTGGCCAGTGGACTACCCTTTACGACCTATTCCTAATGCATCTCCATCCTCATCCTTTCCAAGCAACCCTGCTGGATTATGATTTTGACCTTGATAGAAAGCCCCAATGCTTTTGAACTGAGCATGCCCAAAAGATAAGCATATACTCAAGTACTATAACCATGTCCCTTCAAAGGGTGATATAGATGCCACTATATGCGCCCACAGCCTTGTATACGCAAAATGAGACCCAAAAATAAAAACAATATCCACGAACGCCACTTCCTTGCCCATGGTAACGCCTGTATCAATTCATTTCGGAAACGCCTTTTGTCCATGTATTGGGTATCATCCTCCCCCCAGAAGCAATTTGCGAATAAGCACAAATAGTATCTTAAAAAGGTTATAAAAAATTCTGCATATCAATCTGTTCTCTTTCGTGTAAGAACAGGCCTCTTCCTCCTATTCGCAACAGGTGCCATGCCAACGAATGTTTCATCAGAATCATTGCCAAGGCGATCATAACGTTCATGACCGACAGTAATAAGTTTGACCATATTTCCCAATGCAACTACGATACTGTTCGTACCCACTTTCGTGACTGGGCCAAGTTTACCAACAAGTAATACCTGATCGTAAACTGAATTGAAGGGCACAGAGGTTTTATCTCCTCTCGACCCTAAGCTCCAAACCTCCCAGCCGTCATTTTTGCCTCCTGGGTGATCTAGATTAGACCTCCTTCCCGAAGCACCCCGTCGTCGAAGTCCGCCGCTTCCAATCGACCCCAAAAGTTGATTTCCTACTGCTTGTTTATCTTGATCTTGTATCTTCCGTACACCTACCACATACCCCGATTGGAGTGCTTGCCAATCACCAGGATTTTCTATACTAAATCTTCGCTCTACGGTTTCCCGCCATAAACAACATGTTTTAGAGCCTGGTTTATCAGGATCACGGAAACATATAGTATCGCCCTCTCTGCTTGGCAGATATGATTGCATCATCATGTTCCCAGTCTCAATGCAAGTATACATAAATGCAAACGATCCCAAACCAACAGAACCACATTGTGGCCTTCGTCTTGTCGAATGAACACATTGCAGTGTTCCTGGTTTGATGTTCTCTGTAACAAATGAATGAGTGACATTATGAGTGTGTATATCAACAAGATCAACGCTGTGGTCGCGTATAGCGAGAAAGGATGATAATGCCGGCAATGGAAGAATTGAGTTGACATCTTTGTCATCGGATACCCAAGGGAGTCTAAGATCATATGAAACCCAGCCAGATTTCTCTTCAACTGCAACATGTACACAACCACGTTTTGAGGCGGTTATGATCTTTGGAGGTGGCAGGAAGCCATTCGTAACAACTTTTTCCAAATGTGGCTCAACACAAACCAATGGCGTGCGGCATATTTGTAGTTCCTTTGAAACATGATCCTCCATATGAAGTTCTGACATGAGACCGTTATGGCGGACGATAATCACTGGATCAATCAACTCAACTTCATTGTGGCTAAAGAAAAATGCTTCGGGTGTTCGCCCTTTGACGTCCACGGGCATTGTCGGACCCCATCGTCGTTCAGGAATGTTCCATAAGGCGACCATTTTCTTCGACAGTATTGCGAGCCAATTCGAGTCGTTATCGATCGCCATAGCCAAAACAGGAAACGGATCGATATCGGATCCAGGGTCTTCGACTACATAGCTTCGGCCATTATGCTTTGCATTCCAAACACGGATCCATCTGTCCAGACCAACTGAAACGATAATTCCATCACGAGAAGCTGTCATCAGGACAACATCCAAAGCATGTCCAGAGCCGAATGTCTTAACTGACAACAGGGGTTCGTCGCCATGACCCTCATGGTCTTCATCGTCAGAAGGTTCATCAGACAAGAGATATTTGATGAATTGATTAACAATCACGCCAGTGATGATAACAAACAAAAGGAACGGTAGGGACTGGTTCTCGATAAAGTCATAAAAAGCAGGGAGGAACGATCTCACACCCAGTCTGTTTGGTGTCCGATCTGAACCGTTTAGGACGAAAACTAAAGGATCATAAACCTGAGCAACGAAACTGTGAGCATGTGGTTTGACAATGCTAATAAGCTCATGAACAGTCTCGTGGTCTTGCAATCGGAGCCAGGCAGTTGGAGTTCTAGCTTGATGAACATCGACCTCTAGAATTGAAGAAGCCGGCGCAGTTGTTTTCAATACAAGTTGATTACTTTGCAAAATACCTTGATCGAAATGCCATTGGCAAATTAGTACTGCGATAATAATCACCACGGTACCGACAATACGAGTCGAAGGCATGTTTCCTCCACGAAAAATGAAATCAGCCCATGGTTTAGAAGATGATCTTTCTGGTGATGGGTAGCTTCGTTCCCGAGAAGAAGCCGAGAGTGTGTCGTTCAATTGAGGTCTTCGTACATCGATGCTTAGAACGGGAGCGAAGAACATTAGTAGGTAGAAGAAATCAAAAATTAGTGCAAAAGTAGCGAAGCGACAGAAAGTAGCTTGCCCTTCGCCTCCAAACTTGGATACAACCCACAAGAAGAGAAGCCTCTGGCCAGTGTTCGTAAGGAATATATGTCCGTTCTTTCCAAAGGCTTCTGCGGATCTAAGAGTCGGATGATGTGATGAAGGCGTGACAATAAAAGCTCTCACGAGTTGAAGCATGTTTTCCGTGCCGCAAAAGACAACAATCAAAGGATAGTATTCTCTGGGTATCATAGACAAATCCGTTTTGATAATAGCGCAGATGGTGAACGTCGAAGTGAACGTAAAGGCCAACTGAGTAGTTGCTGCAATGAGAAGACCAAGCCTTGACTTGAGAGCCCGCAGGCCCCATAAAGTTGCGACGAACCACCATGCGCCAAAAGTGTATGCGGCGGCCAATGCAATCGATTCCCAAGTAGCAGTAGGTTGAAATAAGAATTCATAGGGAGTGCTTCTTAACGAGTGACCATCGGAAGGAATCATGCGCCAGTCATCAGATCCTTTGGCTGCCAGTTGAGCTGCTCTTCTCTCCCAATATCTCCCGACAGGCGAGTCAAGCATGTGAACCAAGGTTATGACCAAGGCATCTGCAGCTACAAGATGGTGGTCCTCAAAACGCTTACCACTGAAAACAATAGAGTGTCTCAAGGTGACATTGACAGAGGTTGACTGGTGCAAGTTTTTGTTGACTGTCATCACGATGTCGTCATCAGCTGAGATCGCTTCCTTCGAGCATGACCAGTATTGTAATGGAGAATGAAAGAACCAAGATGAGTTTGTTAGACCGTTTACTGCATGAAAGGCATCCCGTGCATCCACTGATAATTCATTTTGTGTATAGTCAACCTGGGCATGCTTAGCCTCTTTGCGAGGGTCAAAGTTGATAGTGGGGCCTAAAATATGATCCTGTATCTCTAATGCTGCTTGGAGAACATCTGATTGTAAAGCTTTCATATAGCTTCCTATTCCGGTATTAGCTCTCCTCCCTTCGAAACCGAGAGTAACAACACACCATGTACCCATATCGATCGCATTACCACATCCGGTTTCCTCGAATCATCCAATGCCTTCAAAGGTTGCGCGGAAGACCATACATGATGTGGTAGATTTGACGCGCCATTGGTGAAGCCATTTGTAAAGAGAAATGGAAAGGGATATATGAGTAGTGTTGCGATTATAGCAGAGATAGTTATGGCAGCGACTGAGTGCTTTGCGACGTTGTATCCGAATTTAGTGAAGTGATCTCGGATGGGATGTTTGGTGTCGAGGTCGGGAGGTTCCGTGGTTCTAATGGAGACAAGCTTGATTAGATATGTAAACTTTTGTCAAGCAGATCAGTTCATTAAACCACTTACCCTCTGAATGGATAGAGGAGGTACCATATCATGGTGTCGAGGGATGGGTCTTGCCCTTGTCCTTGATCTGTTGCCAACCACTCCAAGTATGGCGGCGGTACCTTTTTTCGAGAACCTTGATAGACTTCAGTAATAGATTTGCGCCAAGGTATGAAGTTCCGCGTCAATTAAAATATGGGGAGTAGAACAAATCGGTATCGATACAATAGTGGCGTGGGCAGACGATAGTGGTGGAATTGAAATTGTTGACGTCGTGGGGAATCTCAATCATGGTGTTATCGCATGTACAGAGGGTGTATTGTATTGGTGGTAGGTGGAGGTGGTAGTGGTAGTGGTAGTGGCAGTGGTGTCAGTGCTGGTGCTGGTGCTCGAGTGAGTATACCTAGAGACGAATCGGAGATGTGGGTGGGAACATGGAAAGCTTCGAGGAACCTCACAATCGAAGTGCTGACATATTTGAATCAAGTGAATGGAAGGTACTGGGTCGATCTTGGTTGATTGACAATTGACGATTTGATCGAAGGGTTTCGGAGTGAATGGGTGAATGGGTGAATGGATGAATGAATGAATGAATGAATTGAGGTCTCCTGGAGTAGCGTTGTCAATTCCTTTTCTCATCCATCAATCAATCAATCCATCAATCCATCAATCAATACTTGGTAAAAAGTTTAAGTTTAATTTGTTGTCATTTTCATCGAATCGCAGAAATCGAAAATACCTAGGATGGTCGTAGCGTGCGGACTAGGTGGATGAGTCTGTGAGGGCAGCTATTGAAAAAAATGGCAGTGAAGACGGTGCAGAGTCTGTGTGAAGTCCGTCCCGAGCCAAGGAAATATGTGGATTCTTTTCTTTTCCCTCTCGGAACCCGGAGCCGAGCAAATCAAATGGCTGGATTCTTACTTGGGTCCTTTGATACTTTACCTTGAACTGTTCAGTTGAGAAAAGGTTTAAAAAAGAAGAACCAATGGTTTCCCTCGAATTCCTTATGACAGAATAAACGATGCGCGTGTGTATGTGGGACTTTCCCCTTGTATTCGATCCTGATCCAATTCAGTGAATGAATCTTGGGAGAGCTGCTGGAGTGAAGTGGGAGGTATTAGGTCGAATAGAATGATGGAATGAATGGCAGAACGACGGGTGAACTTACCTGGTAACTACTGAAACGTAAAGGAGACCATGGTGTGTACCTGGGAGATAATCCTGTATATGTGTACACTGTGAGACTGTATATGCGTATAACTTCCAACAAGTTGCTACAGTAGAAACTCTCCCCCTTCTCCTCTCCCATTCTCTAGTGCCTTCTCTAGTGCCTCCTCTCTTTCTTTACCTCTTTCCAAATCTGTCGATTCCACCTCAAACCATGCATGAACTCGGCACAGAAGGGGTCGCTAATTCGAATGATACTGTATGATACTTTAATGAACAAACGCGAGATGTCGATTGGGAACCGGATGTTGCTTCCGAATCCCCATATATGTGAAGTGAATAATCCAATGAACTTGTCGGCGGCTGCGAGGGGTTTGAAGAGATACTCGATATTAACACAGCAGTGTCGTACCTATACAATGTCTCTCAAAATTGATCATGTTGTACGAGATTCCGTCCCTATCCCTATCCCTTATGTGAAAGTTCGAACCTTCGCTTTTTCCTGATCGTACATCCTTTGTATGTGCTGTGGTCTGGTATCGATGATCGAACGGTGCACCTGCTCTTTCTGAATTCTTGAATATTGAGGCTGCACAATGACCGCCTTCATAGTATCCCACAACTCGACAATATAGATTCGTGTACTATACCTGGATACCTACAAGGACTTGTGTTTCCTCATTTTCTTCTCCTTCTGACCTGAAAGCTTACACCTATCGACAAGCCCTGGATTGGCTTTTGCCACCAAGAACGAATCATGTTAAGCTGAGTTGAAAGCTAGAGCATCGGCATCAAGTCCAATTGAAGATCCAGACGCTTTGGCAACCTGTAGTAAATTTCAAGATAACGAAAGGGGGGTGTGGCTGTAAGTGCATGCAGCTGCAAGAGGTAAGAGGCAGAAGGTAAGAGGTTAGAGAGAACTAGTGATTGCGACCATTGTGTCTAAATAGAAAAGAGATGCAGCAACAGCAACAGCAACATCGATAGCAATAGCAATAGCAATAATAGGAAAGGAAAAAAGGCCGGCAAAACCTTCGTACAGAGTGGGCGTTCACTTAAATCTATATAATTCCTTTCACCACCTTTTCTTAAATTTACTCTTCTTCCTTTTGTCTGGAATTAATTCAATCATCGTATGGTTTTTAACATTCTGACATGTCCATCGCCTGATTTTGACGGCATTTTCATTGACCGATGGCCTATTTAGGCGTACTAGAAGTGCTAAAACTTAAAAAAAGACATTTGCAGGTCCCTTGAAATTTTGAATTGAAGAAAAAGAAAAGAGTGAACCCGAAAAAGGCATTTTCAAGCGTTCACCGGTGGCTGATGGATTTAACTCGAGTTCCAATCAAATGTCCCAGGTTGTCCCCAATCATCAATTTATCATTAGCATTACCTGGCCGAGCCTGGGTAGGTAGCATTAGCATAACCATTAGCATTAACATATCAAGCCACCACTGACAATTGGAATCCTTCCCATCCGACTTTTGCGGGGGAACTTTGTACAGAGTGCCACCAGTGCTGATGGAGATGATCAACATGATGTGACTTTCCAGAAACTTCGGTACAGCTGGAGTTATCTACTGGTGCAGCCTGTGTGGGTTTGGTATCCAGCGATAATGGATTTGTCTTGACTCTTGAGAACTCATCTTGATTTCAATTCCAATATGACTACGAGTACGTGTGACAGGCATGAATGTAGGTAGGTAGGTAGGAGGGTAGGTAGTATTACATGGTAGGTATTTATTCGCATTCCATTGCCCAGAAACATTTATATGCCTCTTTGAAAAAACCCAAATAGAAAGAGACTTGATGAAATACTACCAAGTACTAGGTACGTACCTAGTCTGTAGGCGAGGCAGGAATCATGTATCTACATACCTACCTCGCCAAGGTAACATGAGAGGACAGACATGCCTAAGGGGTAGACTGCATAAGATATACTTACTCTGTAGGTAGGTGGGTACCTGGGTATTTTAACCAGGCGTTTTATGCAGGTCCTCATGAAGCAGAAATGAATTAGCCAATACCTCGCTACTTAGCTACTTGGCTACTTATTAGTAGGTAATCAACAATCATCTTATAAACATCTTCTTCCTCGAAGGACTACTCATCGATACAAGTACTAGCTACCCCTATCATTCCCATGTTGTGGCGTATACAAGGGACAACATTTTGATTCTGCAGACACCCGCTTTCCAAGACCTTTTTGTCGGCCCTTTAATAATTCGGGAACGGAAACATTCAGGCCATTTTATTAGGCGAAATTCCTATTCCTGATCAACAGCCCCAAATCTGATATATTTGAAATTTGAAAGCAAACACTTTGTTCGATTGGAATATGCGAGGAATTTTCTCCAAAAAAACAAGCGTGGTTCAATTCGATTCAATCAATACCCTTAAAAGTATTGTTTCCATAACCCTCACTCATTTAGGCAACGAATCGTAAATGAAGGCGGTGAGAAGCAAAGTGTGTGTACCTGTCTGATAGGTATATCTCCAGATCCTCCCAACACAATCTCAAACGGGACTTCTCGTCACGGGACTAAAGTAACACTTGTGATTCCTGAATCATCCTCAACCTTCTCAATGTTATCTCATCCATCTGGATCTTCTTCACCACCACCACCACCACCACCACCATCACCACCACTACCGACTTTCGTCAATTCAAGTCACAGCAATGTCGAGGGAAAAGGAATACAAATCATCAATCTTGATACTTCAAGGCTATCTATGTATTCATCACTACGTCACGATACACATCAATCCTCGTGGGCATTGTGGTGTTTTTGGTGATACATGAAATCTACTTTTGGAATCATGCTATGCGAATGCGAACCATCAGAAAGGACGGATACTTACTTTCATGAGGCTGGATTTGCATATATATATACCATATTTTTAAGCGCCGCATGTCGGTGTTCAGTAGTCTGAAGTCCAAAACCGGTGGAAATAACAAGTGTCACCATCGTCACTGTACTTGATTATGTACATGCCCCACGAACCTGTCTATTCCTGTCGCAAACCATTGCAGCCATTTACAGAGATTGCCAGGGGATTCTGCATTTGGGGCTTAGACATTAGCAAATTCATTGACTGTGACTGTTCTCAGATACTTCAGAGGTACAGTAATTGTTTAGACCCAGTATGCATGTCGTTTCGTCGAATATCGATACGTTGCACTGCTTATGAGTAAGTAGGCGATACTTCACTGCAAGTCGTCTCGCCGAGAGGTAGGTAAATTCTTCAGATATTTTTACAACCATGGCATGTTTGCGTTTCTATTCTTATCTATCTCGCTCGAACTCAATTGAGAGTGTGATAAACGCTCTAAAATATTTCGTACCTTCCAGAGTTGGATGAAAGATGATCCCACCGTCAAATCAACGTTGCTCCTACCCTTTCTCCTCCTTCAGACAATACGTAATCCTTCTCGCCCCCGATTCTTCTTTCCTTCTATCTCTCTTTGCATTTGTTTTCTCTTCCTTGGTCATCTTCTTCCAAGCATCTGTTAGGATGCCTGCAAATTAAGTATCACTTTGTGGCATGATGCGCTTCTACAACCTACAATATCCTTCAGTATACCTAAAAACACAATTAACAAATCCAACAGGAATTACATTCCATCGTTACAAAGAAAGTCGTAACTTTCGTCCCAAATGAGAATGGACTCTTATGGTCCATCGATACTGGCAACAACCATCATTTTCCTCATTCTTGGCGTTTTTGTTGTCTCGCTCCGTTACTATACTCGAGTGGTGATTCGAAATACCATTGGCCATGATGATTTTCTCATTCTCTTGTCTCTCGTAAGATAAACCATCAAAGATATCAGTATTGGTATTCTGACTGGGGTTTCAGGGCCTTTATATCGTGATGGCATCATTACTCTTCGTCGGCGTTCAACGAGGCATCGGTCAACACAAGAAGGGGATGAATACGGGTGATATTGTTGAAAGCTCGAAGGTCTCAATACTGATTCTGAGATCATACAACCAACTGACAATCAGCAGTACGTCTGGCTCACGGTCTTAATTTACATAAATGCTGTTACGGCGGTCAAAGCTTCTTATGCCACATGTCTCCTTCGTCTCACTGAGGCCAGTCCTTGCGCATACGCTCTTTGGGTTGGGCTATCAATCAATGTTATCATATGCTTCATAGCAAGTTTTTACCTGATTTTCAATTGTCGACCAATTTCATACGCTTGGGAGCAAGGCGATTCGAGCGTGGATGGATATTGTAATTACGACTCAGCAGATGCTCTAGGCTATGCATGGGCCGGAATGTCTCTAGCGCTATATCTCCTCTTTACCCTTATTCCGGTCGCATTAGTTTGGAATATGCAAATGCACATCAAAACGAAGACATTCGTTGTCACTGTCCTGGGATTAGGATTATTGTATGTATCACGTATATTCTCGACATCTGAGTTGTGAAATCTGCTGACAGAGTGCCAGCGCTGGTGTTGCTTGTGCTGTACGAATCGGAGTGTTTGCTGTGGACTTGGACTATTCAGATCCTCTTTGTTCGGGACCCTATCCTCTTGCCTTGACATGACTATGACTAATGAACATTCACAGATTCAATATCACCAATGCTTATTTGGTCCGTAGTTGAAGCTGGTTTGGGAATTGTGGCAAGCTGCATCGCAACATTACGGCCTCTCCTTCGACACTATAACATTCAAGGCCTAGAGGAGATTGAACTCGAAGGCGAGGTCGGGCACGGTGAGGGTGGACGAGGACACGGTCAACCGGCATACAAAATGTCAACAGTATCCCAAATCCTTAGCAAATTCACAGGCCATGGTGCACATACCGTGACTGTCATTCATCAAGGAAGTGAAGCTACGATTCCCGCGAATGGTCAAATCAAGGAGAGAAGAACGTACAATATCACTACCCTTCAGAGAAGTTCGGCGGACATGCAACACGAACGTGAAATGCAAGGAGTTGCTGGAAAAGTTCCCGAACCAGACGATGTGAATACTGGGGGTTGGTGAGGGCAGAAAAGATTTATAATGGTTTCGATAACATGGTAAAATTGGTCTTCGAGAAAAGAAGAAGTTGGGTCAAGGATTCATTTCATATTCAGGTTATGGTACTGTTTTGATCAATGCGAATACATTTTCAGGTTCTGTTCTATACTGATTACATCTTGCTTACAATGGTAAAGAATGCTTACAAGTGCGCAAGTGTATACAATCTTTGCTGGATTCTTCCTGTATTAAACCCTCTCTACCCCATGATTGTAGGTGACGGGGTAATATTCGGCAAATCTACCGGTCAATCTAGAATACCCGAAACATTGCAAGGGCAATGAGGTTATCCGTACGTGATCCAGGATAAGCAAATTAATATCCGTTCGCCATGCATTCGCCGAGCCGGAACTCTCTTTTTCTGGCTAGGGACCCTCGCGGGTGACAGGAAAAATGATATACACAAATTCGTAATTCTCATTTAATGGAATAATGCTTTTCTTTTAATTGATTCAATATTATTACTTTTTATATTTATAATAAGAATAATATGGTAATTTTATTAATTCAATATTAGAGATTAATTCTATATAAGTTTTATAATTCTAAGTATAATATTTGTAAAATAATTTATTATAGAGGATCGATTTGTTTTTATTGATAGAGATTTTTAAATTTGCTATATTCAGAGCTTTGAGATTTAGTATAAAATAAAAAAATTAATATTGATATTATATAGAGTACTATTTTGAGTAATATAATTATATAATTGATATAAGGTAATATTATAATTCAATTTCTTTTAAAAGTAAATTATTTCGAAAAGAAAATTATTCTAAAAATTATTCTTTTGATTATCTTTTTATTATTTAATAAACTATTTTTTTATTTTAATAATATCCTTAAGTTTTTGAGGTATAATATTTATTAATTTATTAATATATTTAATAATAATTTGCTTTCAATTTTTATTTATAAGCTTTTATATGGTTATATTGTTTTAATAAATATGTTTTTGAATAATTTGTTTTAGGATTTGTTAGATATTTTTGATAATTGAGAGATCAAAATTATTATAATAGTTTTGATAGATTTCTAAATTATAATCTTTTTTCTATTTTTTTATTATATTATTCTTTTTATTTTTATAATTATATTTTAAATTATTATTTTTTTCAAATATAAAATCCTTTGATATAATTAATTATTATTTTATTTTCTTATTTAATATAATATCGATATAAATTTTATAAAATAATTTGTTATTCTAGTTTCTAGGAATATTATAATATATAAGATTGTTTTTAAAGTTATAATTTATTATTATTTAGTAATATTGTTTATTATAATATTTCTCTTTTTCTATTTCTTTGAGTTGAATATATTTAGGATAAAGTCTTTAATCTAGCTTTCTAATAATTCTATACTTTTCTTTAGATTCGAAATCCTAATAATATTTATTAGAGAATCTAACTTTTCTCTAATCCTTTGGATTAAGATATTTAGTTAATATATTATGAACAAATTGGAATCTAGTGATAGCTATTTTCTATGTAATTTATTTCTTATAATAAGCTATATATTTTCGATATTCTATAGATTCTATAATTTATATAATAATCCTTTCGGATTGGTTTAATCTATATACCTCTCCTAATTACTTTTAATTGAAAGATTTAACTTCAAAACCCTTTATTTGGATTATAATCTTTATAGTATATATATTATAAGGAATAAAGATTTTTTTTATTTTTTTAATTTTTTTATATATTATAGAATTATATAAATATCTTGGATTGTAATCATACTAATATCGATATTTAATATAAGATGTGATATTATAAACTCTGAATATTCGAGTTTTGAAAGTAGTAACAATTCCATCAGTTATTTTATTAAGCATAATCTGGATTTTAATTTTAATAAAGGTTTTATTATATTATTAAAAATATATTTTATTCTTATAATAATTGTAACAAGTTAATATTATTATATTATAATTTAATAATTAATTTTGAAATTATAATAATTAATATAAATTGAGATTAAAAGGATATATATACTATTTTTCGTATCACTCGCGAGGAACCCTCGCGGGTGATAGGAAAAATAATATACATAAATTCGTAATTCTCATTTAATAAAACAATACTTCTTTTTTAATTAATTCAATATTACTACTTTTTATATTTATAATAAGAATAATATAATAGTTTTATTAATTCAATATTAGAGATTAATTTTATATAAGTTTTATAATTCTAAGTATAATATTTATAAAATAATTTATTATAGAGAATTGATTTATTTCTATTAACAGAAACTTTTAAATTTACTATATTCAGAATTTTGAGATTCAATATAAAATAAAAAAATTAATATTGATATTATATAGAGTATTGTTTTAAATAATATAATTACATAATTGATATAAAATAGTATTATAGTTCAATTCCCTTTAAAAATGAATTGTTTTGAAAAGGAAATTACTTTAAAAATCATTTTTTTAATTATCTTTTTATTATTTAATAAGCTATTCTTTTATTTTAATAATATCCCTAAGTCTTTGAGATATAATATTTACTAGTTTATTGATATATTTAATAATAATTTGCTTTCAATTTTTATTTATAAATTCCTATATAATTATATTATTCTAATAAGTATACCTCTAAACAACTTGTTTTGGAATTTGCTAGATATTTTCAATAATTAAGAGATTAGAATTATCATAATAGTTTTGATAGGTTTTTAAATAATAATCTTTTTTCTATTTCTTTATTATATTATTTTTTTTGTTTTTATAATTGTATTCTGAATTACTATCTTCTTTGAGTATAAAATCCTTTAATATAATTAATTATCGTTTTACTTTTCTATCTAATATAATATCGATATAAATCTTATAGAATAATTTGTTATTCTGATTCCTAGAAATATTGTAATATATAAGATTGTTTTTAAAATTATAATTTATTATTATCTAGCAATATTATTTATTATAATATTCCTCCTTTTCTATTTCTCTAAACTGAATATATTCAGAATAGAATTTCTAGTTTAACTTTTTAATAATCCTATACTTTCCTTTAGGCCCGAAATCCTAATAACATTTATTAGAGAACCTAACTTTTCTTTAATTTTTCGGATTAGGGTATTTAGCTAATATATTGTAGACAAATTGGAGTTTAGCGGTAACTATCCTTTATATAATCTATTCCTTATAATAAGCTATATATTTTCGATATCCTATAGATTCTATAGTTTGTATAATAATCCTTTCGGATTGATTTAATCCATATACTTCTTTTAATTACTTTTAATTAAGAAATCTAATCTCAAAACTTTTTATTTAGATTATAATCTCTATAATACATATATTATAAGGAATAAGAGTTTTTTTTGCTTTTCTAATCTCTTTATATATTATAGAATTATATAGATATCTTGGATTACAATTATATTAATATCAATATTTAGTACAAAATATAATATTATAAGTTCTAAATATTCAAGCTTTAAAAATAATAATAATTCTATCAGCTATTTTATTAAGTATAATTTGGATTTTAGCTTTAATAAAGATTCTATTATACTATTGAGAATATATTTTATTCTTATAGTGATTGCAGCAAATTGATACTATTATATTATAATTTAATAATTAATTTTGAAGTTGTGATAATTGATATGAATTAAGATTAAAAGAATACGTGTGTCATTTTTCGTGTCACTCGCGAGGGACCTAAGAGATTGAGTTTGTGTGGATTCTTTAAAGACTAATTAAGAGGTTGGGATCATAATGGGGCTTGTGGGGCAATTTGGTTTTACCACCAATAGAATTACGAAGATGTTTGAGATCGGAAGACTGATAAATCCCATTAACGGTGTACGAGAGGAATGTTCGGAAAAGGTAAACTCGGATTAAGATGGAGATAGAGTTGTAGGTGAATGAATCGTCTGATAAATCCAGGAACAGTAAGAAGTTTATCGTGTATGCATGGGGGAAATAATGGGCGTCACTTTGGGATTCGGTCTTACTAGTCTCCCACATGGGTACCCTTTCTGCATGCATGATGTGAATGAAGAAGAACTTAAGCTTATCAAGCATGCCGATATTGGACAAGGTCTAAATCGTACGTCTTGAAGGTTCATATAAATGGGTGGTATCGCCGCCATATTCGACGTGATCTCTAGGTTTCCAGACGAAACTCAAGCTTTCAATATGTTCATCTCAAAATCCCTCATCTTCACGCTCGCAAGTTCTCAGGTTCTCGCGTCCAGACTATTTGTGGCGTCATATGCAGGAACCGTTACTACATTGTCACTCGATGAGGATGCAAATGGTGCATATTCATTCGAAGTCATTGCGACATCTACGGCTTGCGCGGCCAATTCCTCGTGGATCACTTTAGATTCTTCCCGAGATATCTTGTTTTGCGCGGATAGAGGATTGACTGCAAGTAATGGAACTCTCAACTCGTTGAAGATTCAGGACGATGGTTCTTTGGTGGCATTGGATAGAGTTGAGACACCGGTTGGTGCCGCAGCCACGGTATTGTATGCGAATAATACTGCTTTGGCTTTAGCTTATTAGTAAGAATTCACTCATTCATTCCGGCTTGACATGATTTGGAGACTCATACTGAATGACTGGTCAATAGTTCCTCAAGCAGCGTAGGAAGTTTGGATGTCTCCTCCGCAACTAACATCCTCCCTCTCCAAACTTTCACCTATAACCTTACTACTCCCGGCGCGGACCCCCAATACGAAACCGCACCGCATCCACACGAAGCAATCACCGATCCAACAGAATCATTTGTCCTCGTCCCAGATTTAGGTGCTGATCTCGTGAGAATCTATCGAATCGATCAAGATACCAAGTTATTGGAGCCACTTGAGCCATTGAAAACTCCCGTCGGAAGTGGACCCAGACATGCAAACTGGCTTGTTTCGGAAACAGGAATCACGTACTTTTATTTGGTCAGTCAGTTGACTAACAGACTTACGGCATATGAGGTTACGTATGAAAGTGATAACACTTTGAGTTTTGAAGTGAAGTTTGAGAGGAGTCTTTTGGAGACGACTACCCCAGGCGAAGAATTGCAGTTTTACAGTGCCGCATCAGGAATCCAAATTACAGTAAGTGATTAATTTTCTGAGTAACTTTCTTTCTCCTGAATAGAAAATTTCTTTCCAAATTTTGCCAGTTGGAAAACCACATGAAATTAATATGCCTTCTAGCCCGATCATAATTACCTCCTCATCTCTCAGCGCAACGATACACACTTCAGTATCCCCGATCCTTCTTCCCCATCAGCCACAAATATCATTCACTCCGATTCTCTCTTGACATATTCTTTAAATCACTCAAATGGTAATTTCTCACTCGTCTCAATTGATGCTGCTGGAGGTAGTTTCCCAAGACAGTTCTCTATCAACAAAGCTGGAGATTTGGTAGCTGTGGGCTTGCAAAATGATGGAAGAGTAGCGTTGTTGAAGAGGAATGTGGATGGGGGAGATTTGGAGATTGTCGCCGGAATTGATATCGAGGGACAGGTTGTTTGTATTGTTTGGGACGAGTAGGCGAAAAGGTTAGTGCTGATCCGGGGATAAATTCTGCGTCGAATGTCGTCATACTGGCCTCGACATTAGATTTAGAACTCGGCATAAATGAAAACTTTTCTCCCACAGCTTTTCATGTGCATTTGATTGTAGAGTAGTACTCTAAGCTCGATCATTTTTTATTTGACAGTCACAGTTCAATTTTCGTATATATCGGGATTACCAGTTGACAAAGATGTTCACTAGAGGATAGGAATTTCAGAGTTAAAAGTCACGTTTGTTAGATTTCTACAAGTACAGTTTGAATCCTTCTTCCCAGATTTTGTTACTGGATCAATCCAAGCCTTTCCACGTTTCTATTGGGCTATTCAACTTTCCTCACACTCTGTTCAGACCTTTCCGGTAGCCATATTCATGACAAGATACATAAAGAGCATTGCCAATAAACCCGAAAATAGCTGGATAATTCCTCGCTGAGCCATGTCGCGTTTTCCATTCTTTTCGAGTTCTTGCATGCGTTTAAAAAGTTCAATTATCTGAGTAGATAGTTGAATCATCTGAGTAGATGTTTGCTGTATTGCAAGTCAGAATTCTCTCAAATCTTGGGGCATGGAACGAGGGTACCTTAGATTCTTCATTATTAGGAAATGGAATTTTATCAATATCCAACTTCCTCAACGCGTCTGATTTTTTGTTCCCTGGAGAATTAATCAGCTTGCATATTCTACATATTATCTCCTAATGCAACCAGGAAGAACAAAAATCCTCACATTTTTCTTCACTCTCAGAATCATAAGTACGGATTCGTTCAAACTCACTCATGTATGCTTTCATATAATGATCGGTGAATTTAGCGTTGAACCCAGCTTTATATGATCGGTGGAACGAGTCCCAACATGCTGTATGATATGCTTCGTTGTAGGCCTTTTTATACATTTCGGCGTAGAGTTTCTTGTAGGAGTCCTCTGGGTTGCAAGATAGCTCTACGGTATCGGTGTCGGCTGGGGCTTCTGGGATTTCCGGATTGCATGATTGTTCAGCTGTATCGGTGTCGGCTTCTGAGTTCTTTGAATCAATGGATGCAGGCTCGGTAGACTGGGTCCATAAAGCGGCCTTTTGTTTCAGTGTATTTTTCACCGAGGGAGGCACAGTTGCAGGAGAATAGACCTTTGGTTCGTCGGAGGAGAGTTCCGGGGTCCAAGATTCTGGGTTCATGATTACGAAGTTAGACATGTGTATTATCGGTCTGGTTAGGCAAGCCTGGGTTTATTGTAATTAATCTGATGTTTTTGAAGTTTGCTTGACTTTGGAGAGAGTGGGAGATGTAAATGATGTTTTGAAAATTGGATGTGGGTGAAGGTTTTGTCACTTTTTGTGACTGATTCTCACCAGCATGGTGACTGTTGTGTTAGAGAAATAAGAGTCAGAAGCCTTTCTTGACTCTTATTTGTGTGATGAGACATCATTCAAGAGTCACAATACCTGAGGTGCCAAAATTACATGCTTTATGATTCCCTAACGAACTTCGTTGAGCTGACTTCATCATTTGCTCTCATTCTTCCAACTGAGGTAGTCGGTCACTGCTGCATATTGCCCAATTTCTTTCTCCTACACCCTCTCCGATTTATACTCTGCATTATATGCTCCTTTATCTACATTTTTTCACGCCTTGTTGTATTTTTGTTTTATGTTATCTCATGAATTTTCTTACACAAAGTACTGGGACATTTTCCATATAATTCATCACCTCTCTTTCCAAACAAGGATGGTGAATCATGATGTGAATCGAGGGTACGTTAGGGGTCATTTCGATATCGCGAGGGTCTTCCTCTCTCTCGCAGTTTTGTGTCATTCGATCAATTGAGAATCTCATCAAGTAATGCTATCAAGCAGTAATGCAAAGTTGTGTCTGAATTTGTAGCGCCACAGCTTGCAGCATACTCGTCAAAGGAAGGTGTTTTACTTTTTGAGATAACCGAACCTGCTTCATGCGGCTAAGGATAAGAAGAAAAGAGAAAAGAGATGTGTTGAATCGATGATCATTCATTATTTGTTGGTTTACATTTATGTTCCATGTTCCCTCAAAAGCGCGATAATACCAGTCTTAAATCCATTGCGACCGACCCTTCACCACATCTTTTGTGCCCCCTGCTCCATGTTCTTTGGTACCTCTGAATTGTGAAGTCTTAGTCCTCGAACCTCTTTAACCCGGTGTATCTCCAAATTTCATAGCTTGAAAATTGTCGCTGACGTTCGAGTTCGTGGAAAAGGGCAACATGAAAGTCCTTTTCAACGCCGTAGGCACTATTATTCTGGAGTCGCTGTATCTTTCATTTTACCCGGCATGCAAGTCTGGCATTTCAGGGAGAAAGAAACCAAGCGCACGCGAATGTGAGATTCTGATTCGCATCCGCATTTGATAAACACGGTAGAGTAGCTCTGACAACATTTTTGGTACATGCAGTGAGGCTCTTAAAGGGATCAATCTACTCGTACTCGATTGAATGGATATCCTTCAACATGGATGGGTCGCGAAGTCTATCAGGTTGACAAGAACCTTCCTCTAACATCATCCACTTGAACGATGTCATCACGTTCCTGACGCAACGTAATCTTCCACTGCATCCGTAACTAGTCTTCTTGTTCCATAGCTTAGGTAGCTCTACTAACTCTACATGTGAGAGATTCTTACAACCCATATACAAGAGGCCTTCCAATTCCATATTTAACTCTCTCAAATGCAGTAGCTCTTCCAGACCCAAATGTAACAGAGTCTTTCACTCTATACATAGTGGATCTGTCTATCCATCTTCCACTTTCACACGTATAACAATATCCCGATCTAGCGCCATCTTTACTTTGAAGCTTAGGCATCGTGGTGGGCGAATTGGAACCACTACTCCCAGGGCAAGTTATGCATTCACTTCCACATAAAACGTCCACGAATACATGACCCGCTTTCCATTCCTTTTTACAAGCCCAAGAGTAGATATAGCCAACACACCCGTCCTTGCACTCGTCTCTCCTGTAGATAGAATCTTTCGATTCATTAGAGATTGGATTACTTGTGTGTCCGTGATGCCAGACATGTGCTGCCCATGTACAGAGCTTTTGAACTTCTGTTGGGATCTCTCCTGGCGAAGATTGTGGAATACTCTCGATGTGAGTCGCGGGGAATATTTTGACCGTGTACGTTGGTTTTGGAAGCAAAGTGTCTATGGCAGGACTGTCACCGTGTGATGCGTTATAAAAATTTCCAGAGCAAAAATTCTTTGTGGCCGAGTACATTGTTGAGGTTGTTGATGGAGCTGTCTCTGGAAGTGTCGAGAATGTTTTTGAGGTCTCTTTGAAAGATATGGTCGTGTAAGTATTTAGTAGGTGTTGCAGTTGCGAGCAAAGGTTAGAAGGAAGGAGGGAAATCCAGCGCTTTTGAGCAATAAGTGTCGTTATAACGCCAAGCAACCTGGATAATAAGTTTGAAATTATACGATCAATCTTATTTGAGCATGAAATCCAATTTGAACGTTTAAAATATCGTGGATGACAGTGCTCTTGTTCATAAATCCGCATTTCTCATGAAATGACTCCGGTAAGATCATTCCGGTTAGCCATTCAAGTATTTCTAGCTGTGACGGATGATACACTGCGGGGTCGAGAGGAATCATGATGTATCGTGATTTTCTGAGAAGGACTATTGTAGATGAACAATTGAATTTCGGGCTTTGACTGTCTCGAGACTGTTTGGTCAAGTCACCCTTGAGCACAAATCGTCATGTCACCTGTTCAGGGAAAACCCAACCACTGAAAATCCAGGTTCACTCACTGAGCCAACCACCCAACACATTCTACAACTGATGAATTTTGGCAGTCGATCTACGTTGGTATACCACACTTTCTTTAAGTTCAATAGAGATCACTGAATGACTGGAGTAACAGGCTTGAGCGATAAATCAGAAAAAGGAAATATTTGCAGTCATGTTAGCTACAGTAATGGTGCCACCTAGTAGGGACTCTCGAGGTAGGTCACCGTTTGCACGAAATAATTAACAATCAACCTCCTATATGTGGGAATCGACTATAAACCTTTCATATTCGATGCCTATGACTGGCTTTTCATGAAGCATTGCGTCTTATGGTTATGCTACTCAGCATCCTCATTCAATTAAAGGCATCAATATATATTTGAGAGTGGTAACGAAAATTGATCAAGAATTTGTTCTGGTGGTTTCATGGTTCCAGCCGCATTATAAACTTCACATATGAGAGCCTGGACCTCGAGTGTTAAAAACTCCAACTAGCATCATTTGAGCCACACCGTCAAATTTATAGAATGTTACTTGGTACACAACCTGCCAGCAATCGTTGTTGTTCGTGGAAATACAGATATTTATTAATCAACATTCTATTTCTCACAAGCCGTGTACAAAATAAAATCACCAAGAGCTATATTACATTCATTGGTTGAGGTGCGATTTGTAATAAATGATGATATAATTTTATATCCAGTTGAAAGCCATGCATTTAGATTATTCCTCCTCAAAATACGACATAAAAGATAGATAACCCCCCCCCCCCCCCCCAAAAAAAAACCTTGCGACTGGAAACAATGAATACGTGGTATGGGATGGTTGTACTCAATCTAGTTCAAGGTCAAAAAGAACCTTGAGATTAATGAGAAGATAGTGTTGTCCATTGATACCGTGTCGATTCGGTTGCCTATGGGCGTGAAGTCTAAGTTCTTGAATTGAGTTAGTGATTTTCTATATCACAGTTCTGACAAATATACAAGAAGAGCACTTACTGTCTAGTAGGTCTACGACCCCTAGTGTCGAATTGACGGGGAGAGCCAGGGGGAGGCTGCCCTTCAACAGATTCATCGTCGAATTTTTCAGAAGGGTCATCGTGCCGCTCACGATGACCGCTTTTGTGGTTTTCGCGTTTGCGCATTAAACCTTTTGAAGTCATAGCATCTACATATCCTGCGCACTTCAAGACTTCTCCCAGCAGACTACTATGTTGGTTCTTTTTTTTGGATTTGGGTTTGCTCCAGTCACCCGTATAACCTTCCTTCCAGGGATTTTGAGATCTGACAGACTCTCTTTTTGAGGATGATATTCTTCTGTCATCGCGAGGAGTTGAACTTTGCGAGCTTTCTCGTGAGCCTAAGCCACCTCTGAGATCGCTGCCATGTGCATCAGAGACGGAAGACTTTCTTAAGCTGGCTTGTCTTCGACCGCGCGCGACTTCCTGCAGGGGAAGTCTATCACGAGTCTGATCGCCATATCTTGGATCCGGAGGGAACTCTGGGCCTGGATAAGGATTTCGATTTTGATCTCTTTCTCGAGCAGGTCGAATTTCTTCAATTGGTATCTGTTGTACTTGCTCGGTGGTAGGGCGGCGAGTGCCGTGGGGTGTACGAACATTAAATTCTTGAGGGAAAGGTCTTGAGTCCGCGGCAGCAGCAACCAACGGTGGGGGGATAGGCTGGCCTTGACGTCTACCTTCATTAAAATTCTCTTGCTGTGCTGGTTGCCTTTGGAAATTTGATGGGTGCTGGGGTGTAGGATCAAAGTATCTGGGAGCTCCTCCTTGCGGATGTAGTGGCGCTTGAGGACGAATGCCAGCGAACACACGCCTTGCATTTTGAAGATTTGGATATACTTGCGCATCTGCCGAGCGATAATGATTGTGACCGACGTCTATTGGAAGCTCTCTTTGTGGAAGTGGTGGTGTTTGTGTATCCGATGGACGATGAGGGTTGTTGTCAAGATGCTTTGAAACTCCTTTGCGAACCGATTGCCATGAGCGAACCGATTGCCATGAGCGACCAGATTCCTCTGAGCGAGCCGATCCTTCCGAGCGAACTGGTTCTCCTGAGCGGGATGATTCTCTTGGGCGGGATTGGGGGGCAGAAGATTTGGCTGATCTTTCCCTTTCCCTTTGCCTTGATTTTTGTTTACGATTTGGGGTTGGGCTACTCATGATTGCTTGCAATAGAAGTAGAAAACAGTGTTCGTTTAAAGATTTGTTCTGAATGCAGTAAATGAATTTTTTTCTTTTCATGTAGATGTAGAGGAGAAAGTACTTGAACCGGGGGACTTGCAGGCTTAAGAGGTGCTTTGCAGCTCTCATTCAAGTCCCTTAAAATCATGATGATTCATTATCCTATGGTATGAGTGGTCAATATGGCTACAACTCTTGACAGATGTGACTTAAAATTGATAAAAAATCACTGAAAGAGGATCGAAATGACTGTAAAATTGGAAAATGACGGGAGTGATAGCAGAATGATTGGAAATAGAACTCCATGACAGTAAAATGACGTCCAAATGATGTATGATGGTTGATATGACTACTATTTCATGGATTAATCACAATGATTTCTATTCGGCTGTGAAATGAATGTAAAGTTCACAGGATTCATACACGAGTTGGGCGATGAATGGAATAAGATAGGCACAGTTATGTGACTGCGATGAAAAGTAAGGCCCGGATATCTAATTCCTACCCAAGATGATGACACTTATTAATGAATGGGACTGACGATCAGAATCGTTATTTGACCTCTTACAGACCTACCCTGATAATATTTAGATCTTGAATAACCATGTTCTAGCATAGATGGAGATACGGTTAAAACTATACCATGTTGAATGACTTAAATGCATGCACAGAATGGTGTAAGTGAAATACTGTAGTGGGCAAGCAAGAGAGGCAGAACCCTAAGCAATGGTATAAATCCGACTTGACTCAAAAAGTAAGCATGAGAAAAGGCACATTCATAAGTGTAGACTCAACTATGAGCTCGTACACTCTAAGGCGCGTCTTCTTCACTGCGGAAAGCTTTAATGGAGGTCAATTCAACTACGTACGCTTCTATTGTAAGTGACTTTCCGTGATAACTGAAAAGGGTCCCACACAATCATCCGAAGGTAGCCTTAAACTAATTGGTTATTAGACAAAGGGACAAAAGCACCTTCAATTGTTTGGAGAATTTAAATATACTAGAGATTCGAACTGGAAGCTCCGGCACAAATCGCTTTGATCTTTCCACAACGGGCAGTAGTGCCATAATTTATTATCTATATCCAAGTATTTTGCGCTACCTAGCAAAGCTCCCGCAGGCCAAAGGAAGCGCTATTTCCAACAGAAGCTTTATAAACGTAGAATCTAGAGAGGGAAAAAATCTCATTGAATCGTTTCGATCCTGGGTATTCTCTTGGATGTATCTCATCATCCTCGAACTGGCCAAACAGCCCTTCACATCGCATGTCCTTCCGGCCCATGGATGAAGTCATTCTCAAACCTTCCCCACCCACCTGTCGGCTCATCACACATCTTCAGACTATGAATCCTTAAGTCATAATGCCCATCTTGCGGTCTCTGTCCCTGGCAAACGTTTCCACCCATTGCAACGTTGATGATAACCTGAAAATCATTCAACCTCCTCGTTCCCTCCGGCACCGTCGCTTTCATAACGACCTTCCCATCGATATACCAGACCATCTTCCCTCCTACACCATTCTCAGGTTGGTTCCACGCAAACTCATATGTGTGTTGTGCATGATGCATGTTATGCACCGGTGTTTCCACAACCCTATGTTTATTCCAATCCTCCCCATTAAAATGACCCCAATGCAAACAAGTGTGATTAGTCGCATCCCCGTTCCACGTCTCCATAATGTCTATCTCTCCATCATTTGGCCATGTAAAAGGTTCACGCGGGAGGAGCCAGAAAGCCGGCCAAATTCCGGAGGCACAGGGTGGTGTAATAGTTGCTACGAGACTGCCGCGATCCCGAGCTAGTGTCATATGGCTGGTTAAGCGTGCGCTTGTAAATCTGCCGTTTGAGGCAATGGCTCGGAGGACCAGACAACCGTTTTCGTCGTGGAACGAGTTTTCGCGGTCTGCGATGTAATTTTGGAGTTCATTGTTTCCCCAGCCATGATCGCCTAGTTGATGTCTGAAATTATCGGAAACATGTGTGTGAGGAGCGAAAGAAGGTATCCAATAAGGATGAATTGCAGAATAGGATGGTCTATTTTGAGGAATCGGAGGAGGTGCGCCTGCATTGTGATGAGGTTGAACTTGAGGATAGTATCCCGGTGGTGCGGGTTGTGGTGGTGGGGGTGTATGCGTAGTGGATTGACCGGGGATGGAAAAATTGTGCTGAGCAGCAAAGGCTTCGCCCTTAGCTTTAGCTTTGTCGAGAATACTTTTGAAAGACATAGTGATCGTATGAGGTTTGGTTTGGTGTAAAATGTGTGAGATTTTGACGTGAAGTTAAAGCACGCATGTTACGTCAGTGTGCGGATCGGCCCGCAAAATCATAAGGCTGCGCTACTTGCGGGGTCACTCGGTAAGTTCGATTTTTCCACCCCTGAGATCTGAGAGGGTAACTTTTTTCGGGTTTTGATCAATGTTTGATACACCTGCAACCTCAGAATTTATGGGTTCGATCGAAATGACGAAATTTTCACTCAGGGCAGGGACCTAGTATGACTATTACGAGTAGTGATTGTACGTTTCCTTTATGCTATAATCTATTCGCGCTTTTCGTCTACGACCCTCTCATCTCATCTCCATCTTTGACAGCAAATACAAATATACGAACATATACCTATAATATACATATACCCTCTTATCATTCATTATAAAAATTTCGTCTTCTCCATGCTGTTCGTGAATAACTCTCTACACCTAACTCTACTGCCCAATCTCGCACACAGTAAGAACGCCCCACTCAATTTTCGATGTAAACTGTAAGTTTCTTCTGGCGGTGGCGCTAGTCGCTCTCTGATCATGATCGGAATGAGAGCCTTTACTCTTTCAGTAATGGTTTGGTCTCTGAAATCATAAATCTCCGGGGAAGACTCTAAAAATGGTTCTGCGAGAGTGAGAACAGATTGTATGTGCGCGTCTAACATCGCCTTAGATTCTTGGCCTGTAAGATACCCGAGATCGATAGACAAAGCGCGAACTGTATCTCTCTCTGACCTTGAGGCTGCGTCTAGGAGTTGTGTGTATTTAGTAATGAACTCTTCGGGATACTCGCGAGAGGCACCAAAATCGAGGAGTTCTAATTTATTGGTTTGTGCGTTGTAGAGGAAATTTGTCCAATTAGGATCAGTCTGCATGTATTTGAACTCTGTAATCTCTCGAAGACAGAGGCGTAGGATCTGGGTTCCAATCCAGTCTCGTTGCTCTTGCGTAAAACTTTGAACGCGAGTAACACCAACTCCTTCCATATATTCCATAGTAAGAACCTGTTTCCCTGATGCTTCGGAAAACACTTTTGGTACGACGAAAACATCTTCTTCATCCGCTAGAAGTTCCTGGAAACGCAGTCCGCATTCCGCTTCTCGAATGTAATCACATTCCCATCCCAGCTCTGTTCGAGCATTTGCTATCGTTTTATCGAGGAATAAGCCTTTTGGTAAAAGACGAGATGCTGTTAGTAGGATTGCAAGGTTATTTAGATCGGAGTCTATGGAATCTGCGACTCCAGGATATTGAATCTTTACAGCAACCTTTGCACCCGTTGATTTGAGTGTTGCACGATGAACCTGGCCGATAGATGCAGCAGCCAAAGGGACTTCTTCAAATTCGCCAAATAAGCCTCTCCATTCAGGTCCGAGATTTGCTATCAATACTTTGTTTCTTTGTGAAGCAGGCATGTAGTCTGCTCGATCCTGAACTCGTTGCATTACTTCTTGGATTGGCGCCGGAAGCATTTTGGAGTCTTGGAAACTGATCATCTGGCCCAATTTCAAAGCCGCACCTCTCATCCGAGACAATTTTGTCACAAGCCTGTCCATGTTACCCGCACTCAACATGAAAGATCCCTCGCCGCCACCGCCACCAACTCGACGAAGACTTTCGCTGATAGCCCCTCCTACCATGCCAGCAGCGAGGCCACTATAGTTCCATAACCTTCCAAGTCTTGAAGAAGGAACACTAGATTCTCGCAGCTTATATGGGGCAGGCTGTGAGCTTCCCTCTGGCTGCAACTATAATATTGTCAGATCTCAGTGTCACATGCATCAAGTGCGAGAGGAGTTCATATTTACAGTGTTATTACTACTTTCTTTGCTAATATCTGCCGCTAGCTTCTCGATACCTTCATTGTTTTGACGAGGAGTCTGCAGAACGGAATTGAGTGGACTATCCGGGGTGGTCGGTTCTGCCTGAACAGATGAACGAACATTGAACGTATCCTGGTCCTTATTTCTTGCGAGTTGGGTTTGGTCTACAGGGGTGTCTTTTACTCCCTTTAAGCCCAGGGTACCTTTACCTGACCCTTGAATTTTTCCTCCCAATAACCTAGCAACCCTTGGGCTGTAGAACAAATCTGTGTTGATGCCCTCGGGCAGCTGTTCTTGCTCAGGAATTGATTCAACAGAGGGTATTTGTTTAGTCCTATCAACAGTTTCTGAGAAAGTATCAGAGTTTATAGCATCATCCCTCAAATGTTGACCATTTTCCTGTATATCGGATGTATGTTTTGGTATCTTGGCCCTGGGTAGGGAAGACAAGGTAGGTGATGTGTGTCTTGATCTATCATAGAAAGAATCTTCATCATGCCCTTCTTCCAATGGATTATTTGAATGCCCAATTTCATCTGCAGTGACTGATGGAATTTGGCGCTCGTGTTCTCGCTGAATACGTTTTGCATTGTCCGCGGATAAAGGCTTAGTTTTTGGAATAGGGATGGTCGAGGCACTCGAAGCCGCAGGATGCAACCCCTCACTATCAATCGGATCGAGCTTGGGTCCAGCTTTTGATCGGATAGGAGTTGTATCTGCATTTAATTCGGCAGTATCGATATCTGCGTTTTGGGGAGGGATTGTTCCATCTGGAAGAGGGTAACTTTTGGCCTTTTCCTGTTGAATATGCAAATCCCTTTTCGGAGTCGGGTTGACAGACGAATTTGACTCGGACTTTTCGTAGAAATGATCCTGCTCTAACCCCTCCTTTTTCTC